AAGAAACTGAAAATCTCATATAACGCTGTGTACTACTCCCTTCACAAAACAGCACAAACTGGCTCTAACCAGAATAGAAAGAGGAGTGGAGGCCCCGGTGCACAAGTGAGCAAGAGGACGAATACATTAGTGTCTAGTTTGAGAAACAGACGCCTCATAGGTCCTCAACTGGCAGCTTCATTAAATAGTACCCGCAAAACACCAGTCTCAACGTCAACAGTGAAGAGGCGACTCCGGGATACTGACCTTCTAGGCAGAGTTGCAAAGAAAAACCCATATCTCAGACTGACCAATGACAATAAAAGATTAAGATGGGCAAAAGAACATACACTGGACAGAGGAAGATTGGAAAAAAGTGTTATGGACACACTAATCGAAGTTTGAGGTGTTAGTATCACAAAGAAGAATATGTGTGAGACGCAGACCAAATGAAAAGATGCAGGAGGAGTGCTTGATGCAATTGGTAGAGCATGGCGCTTGTAACGCCAGGGTAGTGGGTTCGATCCCCGGGACCACCCATACGTAAAAATGTATGCACACATGACTGTAAGTCGCTTTGGATAAAAGCGTCTGCTAAATGGCATATTGTTGTTATTATTATTATTATTATTATTATTATTATCTGTCAAGCATGGTGGAGGCAATGTGATGGTCTGGGGGTTCTTTGGTGGTGGTAAAGTGGGAGATTTGTACAGGGTAAAAGGGATCTTGAAGAAGGAAGGCTATCACTCCATTTTGCAACGCCATGCCATACCCTGTGGACGGCGCTTGATTGGAGCCAATTTCCTCCTACAACAGGACAAAGGTCTGCAAGGTTGTAATTGCTGCAAATGGAGGATTCTTTGACGAAAGCAAAGTTTGAAGGACACAATTATTATTTCAATTAAAAATCATTATTGACTGTATATGTGTTATAAATGACTACATTTCCTATGCATTTTGCAATATTTCCTATTCAAACTCATTTCAGATATGTTTTCATGGAAAACAAGGACATTTCTAAGTGACCCCAAACTTTTGAACGGTAGTGTATTAAAGTAGTCTTTAGTTTATTATTTGGTCCCATATTCCTAGCACGCAATGATTACATCAAGCTTTTTACTCTACAAACTTGTTGGATGCGTTATCGTTTTTATTTTGTGCCCAATAGAAATGAGTGGTAAAAAATGTATTGTGTCATTTTGGATTAACATTTATTGTAAATAAGAATATAATATGTTTCTAAACACTTCTACATTAATGTGGATGCTACCATGATTACAGATAATCCTGAATGAATCGTGAATAATGATGAGAGAGAAAGTTAGACACACATTACAATAACAGGGGAGGTTAGCATTTTTGTATAATTTGGGGGGGGTGTATGATATTTATGCCTGTAACTTTCTCACAAATGTTTATTCACGATTTAATTCAGGATTATCCGTAATCATGGTAGCATCCACATTAATGTAGAAGTGTTTAGAAACATATATGAGAATTTCTGTTCTCACCTTGCGAGCAAAGCATTTTAGCATCTGCCCTCTTGACAGCCGTGAGGAGAAAAAAAAAGTTTTAAAGCAAGTTTGCTGCAATTCTACACATTTGTGACCGACCGCCTTGATTTGGCAACGCCAGGGTTGTGGGTTCGATTCCCACGGGGGGCCAGTATGGAGAAAAATAAATAAATAATGTATGCACTCACTAACTGTAAGTCGCTCTGGATAAGAGCGTCTGCTAAATGACTAAAATGTAAAAAAAAAATAAAAAAAAAAAAAAAATATATGCTTACAATCAGGGGTAAAGTGGCTGAGCAGCAGGATAAAAAAAGTAATAGTAGCAGCAACATATTAGGAGAGAGTCATTTGAATAGAGGCACTGCAGCTAGTGCTGATGACTGGGAACTGTTTCTGTCCTGCCCTTGACTTTGCAAGGCATGTGATGTCCATAGCCTCTTTGTCGCAAAACTCCCTGATCTTCTCAAAAAGATACGTTTGTCTAGCTGTGTCCAGTCCAGGTGGTGCTTGTACAGGCAGACCATCTATGGGAGGAAAGATGTCAGCATTGCTGCAGCAGCTGAAACCTGGTCCCGACTGAGTCCGAACGCTCCTTGGCGACAACACCAGAGCATCGAAGCTGTAAAACAGGAAATGACAAAAATAATTGAAGACATTACAACCTTGCATGACATCAATTCACCTCCCAAGTTTAGATAAGAAGAATAACCTGCTACAATGCAATGAAAATGATATTCACATGAAGTGCTGGTGCATGTAGTTGATGACTGCGCTGCTGCTGAATGACATGCCTTCATCAATCAAGTAGTTGACTTGTTGTGGTATTCCTTCACAGTAGACACCAAACAAGCCACACTTGCGAGGAGTTAAAAAGTAGATGGGACCTGGCTGCATAGGGTCAGAAGGATAGTGCACCTGCAAACAACAACAAAATAACATTTAAAATACATTTAAATTAATTTTCTCACCCCTGTCAGTCTGTCTTTACACAGCTCAGTGAAAGGCATTTGCCTGCTTCCCATATACACTACCGGTCAAAAGTTTTAGAACGCCTACTCATTCAAGGGTTTTTCTTTATTTTTACTATTTTCTACATTGTAGAATAATAGTGAAGACATCAAAAAAGTGTTAAACAAATCAAAATATATTTTATATTTGAGATTCTTCAAATAGCCACCCTTTGCTTCGATGACAGCTTTACACACACTTGGCATTCTCTCAACCAGCTTCATGAGGTAGTCACCTGGAATGCATTTCAATTAACAGGTGTGCCTTCTTAAAAGTTAATTTGTGGAATTTAAATGCGTTTCTTAATGCGTTTGAGCCAATCAGTTGTGTTGTGACAAGGTATACAGAAGATGGCCCTATTTGGTAAAAGACCAAGTCCATATTATGGCAAGAACAGCTCAAATAAGCAAAGAGAAACGACAGTCCATCATTACTTTAAGACATGAAGGTCAGTCAATACGGAACATTTCAAGAAAGTTTCTTTAAGTGCAGTCGCAAAAACCATCAAGCGCTATAATGTAACTGGCTCTCATGAGGACCGCCACAGGAAAGGAAGACCCAGAGTTACCTCTGCTGCATAGGATAAGTTCATCAGAGTTACCAGCCTCAGAAATTGCAGCCCAAATAATTGCTTCACAGAGTTCAAGTAACAGACACATCTCAACATCAACTGTTCAGAGGAGACTGTGTGAATCAGGCCTTCATGGTCGAACTGCTGCAAAGAAACCACTACTAAAAGACACCAATAATAATAAGAGACCTGCTTGGGCCAAGAAACACGAACAATGGACATTAGACCGGTGGAAATTTGTCCTTTGGTCTGGAGTCCAAATTGGAGATTTTTGGTTCCAACCGCCATGTCTTTGTGAGACGCTGTGTAGGTGAACGGATGATATCCTTGTGTATTTCCCACCGTAAAGCATGGAGGAGGTGGTGTTATGGTGGGGGGGGTTTTGACTGTCCTTCATGTCTTTAAAGTAATGATGGACTGTCATTTCTCTTTGCTTATTTGAGCTGTTCTTTCCATAATATGGACTTGGTCCATTTGACCAAATATGGCTATCTTCTGTATACCACCCCCCCCCCCCCCCCCCCCCCCCCCCCCCCCCCACACACACACACACACACCTTATCACAATACAACTGATTGGCTCAAACACATTAAGAAGGAAATAAATTCCACAAATTAACTTTTAAGAAGGCACACCTGTTAATTAAAATGCATTCCAGGTGACTACCTCATGAAGCTGGTTGAGAGAATGCCAAGAGTGTGCAAAGCTGTCATCAAGGCAAAGGGTGGCTATTTTGAAGAATCTCAAATATAACCTATTGTGATTTGTTTAAAACTTTTTTTGTTTACTAAATGATGCAATATGTGTCATTTCATAGTTTTGATGTCTTCACTATTATTCTACAATGTAGAAAATAGTAAAAATAAAGAAAAACCCTTTAATGAGTTGGTGTGTTCAAACTTTTGACTGGTACTGTACATTTCAAAAACAGATTTAACCACAAAGACCAGGGAGGTTTTCCAATGGTTCGCAAAGAAGGGCACGTATTGGTAGATGGGTAAAAAAATTACATGCATCCTGTTTACAATAAGGCACTAAAGTAATACTGCAAAAATTGTGGCAAACAAATTATGTTTTTGTCCTGACTAGAAAACTTTATTTTAGGGGCAAATCTTGCACAACACATCGCTGAGTACCACTCTTAATATTTTCAAGCATGGTGGTGGGTGCATCATGTTATGGGTATGCTTGTCATTGGCAAGGAAAACCTGGTTCAGTCTGCTTTCCAACAGACACTGGGAGACACATTCACCTTTCAGCAGGAAAATAACCTAAAACACAAGGCCAAATATACACTGAAGTTGCTTACCAAGACGACATTGAATGTTCCTGTTGGCCTAGTGAAAGTTGTGACTTAAAACGGCTTGAAAATCAATGGCAAGACTTAAAAATGGCTGTCTAGCAATGATCAACAACCAACTTGATGAATTGTTTTAAGAATATTGGTGTACAAAGTGTACAGTCCCGGTGTGCAAAGCTCTTCGAAAATCTAAATTGTAATCGCTGCCAAAGGTGATTCTAACTTGTATTGACTCTGGGGGTTGAATACTTATCTAATCAAGATATATTAGTGTTTTATTTTCCATTAACAAATTAAAAAGTTAGAATTTTTCTTCCACTTTGACATTAGAGTATTTTGTGAAGATTGTTGACAAGAAATGACAAATCAATTTTTGTCCCACTAATAGAAATGTACATTTGTGGACATAATTCTTACTTACTCAACCTTTTAATTTACAGGAAACAGAAGTAGGTCAGTTTTTCATATTGTGTAATTATGTGGGTTGTATGAACTGTTTTAACGATGGTTGGTATTGGTTTGTGTGTATCTATAGTGTGTAACAGTGTTTTCTCTTCCCTGTCTGTGCTTGTAGGAGCCCCCCTAAAGGTGTGTCCCCAGGGCTACTCATGCTGTACCCTGGAGATGGAGGAAAAGCTGAGCCAGCAGAGCCACTCAGACCTGAAGGCCCCAGTCTCCCAGCTCAGCTCCAACCTACAGAGCATCTTCAAACAGAGGCACAGACACTTTGACCGTAAGGGAGAGATCGAGACGCATGCCCACACACCTACCTTCCTAATGTATCAGTCCATTTATGTCCCACCTGCCTGTGCACTGGCTGCCTGCAGCAGAGACACCGAGTCTACCTGTCTGTGGCCTGTCCACCTGTCTCTCAACGTCTGTCACTGCCCCTCTCTGGCCAATCCCATCTCCCCTGCCTTGCCCTACGCTCTGGGGAGAGAGAGGCACACATGCTCCCAGACAGACCACACACGCACCCAGAACCAGTCTTCTTTCCCTTAACACACGTACTGTTCTCTCTCTGTGTGTGAATAAATATCCAGATCGGGTTTCCACTACCTGTCCTACATGTGACAATGCTGAGTCACTGACGAATTAAAACGGGACAGTTTTGTATTTGTATTTATTATGGATCCCCATTAGCTGCTGCCAAGGCAGCAGCTACTCTTCCTGGGGTCCAGCAAAATTAAGGCAGTTCTACAATTTTAAAAACTTTACAACATATCCACAGATTTCACAACACACTGTGTGCCCTCAGGCCCCTACTCCACCACTACCACATATCCACAATACAGAACCCATGTGTACGTGTGTGTATAGTGCGTATGTTATCGTGTGTCTGTGCCTATGTTTGTGTTGCTTCACAGACCCCGCTGTTCCAAAATGTTTTATCTGTTTTTTAAATCGAATTTTACTGCTTGCATCAGTTACTTGATGTGGAATAGCGTTCCATGTAGTCATGGTTCAATGTAGTACTGTGCGCCTCCCATAGTCTTGGGGACTGTGAAGAGACCTCTTGTGGGGTATGCATGGGTGTCAGAGCTGTGCACCAGTAGTTCAAACAGACAGCTCGGTGCATTCAACATGTCAATACCTCTTATGAATATGAGTAGTGATGAAGTCAATCTCTCCTTCATTTTGAGCCAGGAGAGATTGACATGCATATTATTAATATTAGCTCTCTGTGTACATCCAAGTGCCAGATGTGCTGCCCTGTTCTGAGTCAATTGCAATTTTCCTGAGTCCCTTTTTGTGGCACCTGACCACACGACTGAACAGTAGTCCAGGTGCGACAAGACTAGGGCCTGTAGGACCTGCCTTGTTGATAGTCCTGTTAAGAAGGTAGAGCAGTACTTTATTATGGACCAACTTCTCCCCATCTTAGCTATTGTTGTATCAATATGTTTGGACCATGACAGTTTACAATCCAAGGTTACTCCAAGCAATTTAGTCACCTCAACTTGCTCAATTTCCACATAAGTTATTACAATATTTAGTTGAGATTTAGGGTTTAGTGAATGATTTGTCCCAATACAATGCTTTCAGTTTTAGAAATATTTAGGACTAACTTATTCCTTGACACCCACTCTGAAACTAACTGCAGTTCTTTAAGTGTTGCAGTCATTTCAGTCACTGTAGTAGCTGACATGTATAGTGTTGAGTCATACACATACATAGACACACTGGCATTACTCAAAGCCAGTGGCATGTCGTTAGTAAATATTGTAAGGGGCCTAGACAGCTGCCCTGGGGAATTCCTGATTATACCTGGATTATGTTGGTGAGGCTTCCATTAAAGAACACCCTCTGTGTTCTGTTAGACAGGTAACTCTTTATCCACAATATAGCAGGGGGTGTAAAGCCGTAACACATAAGTTTTCCAGCAACAGACTATGATCGATAATGTCAAAAAGCACAATGAAGTCTAACAAAACAGACCCCACAATCTTGGTATCATCAATTTCTCTCAGCCAATCATCAGTCATTTGTGTAAGTGCTGTTCTTGTTGAATGTCCTTCCCTATAAGCATGCTGAAAGTTTTGTTTACTATAAAAATAGCATTGAATCTGGTCAAACACAATTATTTCCAAAAGTGTACTAGTAACAGGATGCTAGGTCGGCTATTTGAGCCAGGAAAGGGGGCTTTTCTATTCTTAGGTAGCGGAATGACTTTTGCTTCCCTCAAAGCCTGGGGGCACACACTTTCTAGTAGGCTTAAATTGAAGATATGGCAAATAGGAGTGGCAATATCGTTCACTATTATCCTCAGTAAGTTTCCATCCAGGTTGTCTGACCCCGGTGGCTTGTCATTGTTGATAGACAACAATAATTGTTTCACCTCTTTCACACTCATTTTACGAAATTCAAAATTACAATGCTTGTCTTTCATGATTTGGTCAGATATACTTGGATGTGCAGTGTCAGAGTTTGTTTCTGGCATGTCATGCCTAAGTTTTCTAATCTTGCCAATAAAAAAATCATAAAGGTACTTGGCAATATCAGTTGGTTTTGTGATGAATGAGCCATCTGATTCAATGAATGATGGAGCGGAGTTTGCCCTTTTTCCCCAAATTTCATTTAAGGTGCTCTAAAGCTTTTTTTTACTATCATTCTTTGTCATTTATCTTTCCATAGTGTAGTTTCTTCTTTTTATTCAGTTTAGTCTCATGATTTCTCAATTTGCTATATGTTTGCCAATCGGTTATGCTGCCAGACTTATTTGCCATTCATTTTGCCTCATCCCTCTCAACCATACAATTTCTCAATTCCTCATCAATCCACAGGGATTTAACAGTTCTTACAGTCATTTTCTTAATGGGTGCATACTTATTAGTAACTGGAATAAGCAATTTCATAAATGTGTTAAGTGCAGCGTCTGTTTGCTCCTCATTACACACCACAGACCAACAAATATTCAACAACATAGGAATAACTGCACAACTTCTTGTATGACCTCTTATACACTATATTAGGGGACAGCCTTTGAAACTTTGGTTTTCTTAGATATGGCTACTATATGGTGGTCACTACATCCGATGGATCTGGATACTGCTTTCAAGCAAATTTCTGCAGCATTAGTAAAGATGTGATCAATACATGTTGATGATTTCATTCCTGTGCTGTTTGTAACTACCCTGGTAGGTTGACTGATAACCTGCACCAGATTGCAGGCACTGGTTACAGTTTGAAGCTTTTTCTTGAGTGGGCAGCTTGATGAAAGCCAGTCAATATTTAAATCACCCAGAATATATACCTCTCTGTTGATATCACATACATTATCAAGCATTTAACACGTTATCCAGATACTGACTATAGCAGCTTCCCACCAGAATGGGCTTTAGGTGAGGCAGATGAATCTGTAGCCATAATACTTCAAAAGTATTTAACATGAGATCCTCTCTAAGCTTTACAGGAATGTGGTTCTGAATATAAACAGCAACACCTCCACCATTGGCATTTCTATATTTTCTGTAAATGTTATAACCTTGTATTGCTACCACTGCATCATCTAAGGGAGTTTCTGAGATAGTCAGAATATGAATGTCATCTGTTACTAGCAAATTATTGATTTCATTAACCTTGTTTCTAAAGCTACATGTGTTAACGTGGGCTATTTTGAGCACTTCTCTTCTGGGTTGCTTACTTGTTTGCATTGCTTTACTGGGAAGCTTAGCAGAAGTAGATATGCTCATGTTTTTTTATGTTAGTGCAGGGTGAGCTGCCCACAGTGGACTTCCTCCTAGGGCACACCTCCTCAGTGCTAACAGTATAAATCTTGTTCATAGGCACATTATTACTGTATAAAATAGCTGTAGGATCAGCAGAGGCATTCAGGGCAGTTAGAGGGACATACATTCGGTTACTTACATTGTGTCTACTAAAGCCCCTGGTGTAATGTACATTTGCTGAAGCATTATGACAACTCTGCATCACAATGTTAGGGATTAGCTGAGCTGGGCTTGGGTCATTGATAAGTCATTGTGTCGCAGCTTTATAATGCTGTGAAAGGATCCACGAACCCAAATGATTTAGGTGGATCCCATCCTCCTTATAAAGCGACGAAGGTGCAGGAAGATCAGGCTCCAGGACGGCAAAACTATTCGCCGTTTGTATCCGCTCCGGGCCTCTCGTTGGGAGGCTAGACTGCTTTGCGGGAGGCCGCTGTCTTCGGCTTCCTTGGCTTTTGACATGTGACCATCGTTGATTGCCTTGCTCCTCTTGCTGTGCTCTTTTGACTTCGCTATCAGATGGAGGAGCGCCAGGCAACACCGGCCAGTTGGATAACGACAAACGACAAGGCAGAGATGCATCCAACATGCGCGAACGCCGTCCAGCCACCGGCGTAGAATATGTAAACATTCCACTCTGCATGTGCGTGTGTGTGCGTTTTGCATGTGTGTGTGTGGGATAGTTGGTAACAGGAAGCATGTGAATTGCAGCCAGATGTGAACAGGAATTTGACGTGTCGGAATGTGGTGGCTGCTTTAGCTCCTCTCTCTCTCACTCACTCACTCACTCACTCACTCACTCACTCACTCACTCACTCACTCTCACTCTCACTGCCCTTTGTCTCATTTTCACTCTTCTCATGTCTCTGCAGGGTTCGATACTGTGACCAAAACAGTCGCATTTGCAACTGTTTGAATTGGCTGTGCGACACACATTTTGAATTGGTCTTAAGGGTGCCAATGAAAACAATTTACCTGGTCATGTTAGTTTTTGGTTCACAATGTACTTTTTTATCATCATGATTTATTCAAACAATAATGTGCAATTGACCAAAAATAAACCAACTTTCTGAAGAGGCAACAACAGCATGGGAATGCCCCTGTCTGTGTGTCGGGGCTCGACATACAGGGGAGGTTTTGGAAAGTCTATCATCCCCGTCAGTGGCCTGCTTAGGTCAGTGAAAAAAAGATTGTAATAATGCCATTTTTAATCTAGGCTATTTGATTGATTAAAAAAACCAGATGGATTCCCGAAGCTGTTCGTTCGTTATGTCGATTATTTATCACACGCGTGCTGCACACATCCAAGATGGCATAGCAGTGCGGTCGTGTTTTCTGTAGTGTCCTTTATGTAAATAGCCTGTTTTTTGTATTTTTTGTATTTTTCGTATATATTTTTCAATCTCACTTTCCATCCTTTAACTAAATATACTTTCCTGCAACCCGCCTCACCCAATGTGGAACGGATTCTGTTGTTTCTTCATACATTTTTATCCAGAACCTCTGGCTGAAACTAGCCAGCTAGCCAGCTAACTAGCTACTTGCTATTAGCCACCGTTTAGCGGTCTTCACCATTGTCCGTGGCAGTGGCCTGCACTACATACCAGCCAGCCAGCTCTAGCCTGGACTATTATTCGGCCAGTCTGCACAGCACGTTATCGACCCTGAACATATCGTTTTTTCTGCTGGAATCACTGAACCATTAACACCGGATTCATCACTACTAGCTAGCTGCAACCAAATGGACGTTTTGTGGTTGGCTAATCAGCCCTGAGTTAGCCTTGAGCCAGGCCCATCTCCCGGCTATCTACCTCCTTGTCAACCGGACGGGACCTCCTAGTGTCGACACGGAGCCCTGCCGATCCAACACGACTGGTCTGCTGACGAAATCGTCTGATGTGGTTACAACAGGCTTCCCGTTACGACGTCGACCACGAAGATCCATCTGCTAGCCCCGGCCCGCTAGCACACGCTAGCCGTGGCCTCTTGCTAGCTAGTGCTGTAGCAGCCCCCGAACTTCCTCCGAACTCTCCTATTGCTGTTCACCGGACCTTATGATAACTCAGCTATACAGCTGATGCCTGCTGGACTGTTCCATTTTACGGTACCGCATCCTGTTTATGTTTAGCCTCAGCCCAAACTTTGTCGACATTACCAGCTGTTGTCTTAGCTCTCTCGAATTACACCTGTGATTGCTTTATGCCTCTCTCCCATGTCAATATGCCTTGCTTATTGCTGTTTCGCTTATTTCTTATTATACTATTTCACAGTAGATCCCCCAGCCCAGCTAAACCTGCCTTAGATAGCTCTTTTGTCCCACCCCCCATACACGCAGAGACCGACTCAATCGGCGCCTCCAGTGATGCTATCTCCTTCATCGTTACCCAACGCTTAGGTTTACCTCCACTGTACTCCTATCCTTCCATATCCTGTTCTGTACATAATGCCCTGAATCTATTCTACAACGGCCGGAAACCTGCCCCTTTTTTTCTCTGTACCCAACGCACTAGAAGACCAGTACTTAAAGCCTTTAGCCATATCCTTATTCTACTCCTCCTCTGTTCCTCTGGTGATGTAGAGGTTAACCCAGGCCCTGTAGCCCCCAGTATCACTCCTACTCCCCAGATGTTATCATTTGTTGACTTCTGTAATCGTAAAAGCCTTGGTTTCTTGCACGTTAATATCCGAAGCCTCCTTCCTAAGTTTGAGTTATTCACTGCGCTAGCACACTCCGCCAACCCTGATGTTCTAGCAGTGTCTGAATCCTGGCTTAGGAAGGCCACCAAAAATTCAGAAATGTCCATCCCCATCTACAACATTTTCCGTCTCGATAGAACTGCCAAAGGGGGTGGGGTTGCAATCTACTGCAGAGCTCTATCGTACTATCAAGGTCTGTGCCCAAACAGTTTGAGCTTCTACTGCTAAAAATCCACCTTTCCAGAAATAAGTCTCTCACTGTTGCCGCTTGCTACAGACCCCCCTCAGCCCCGAGCTGTGCCCTGGACACCATATGTGAACTGATTGCCCCCCATCTATCCTCAGAGTTCGTACTGCTTGGTGACCTAAACTGGGATATGCTTAACACCCCGGCCAACCTACAATCTAAACTAGATGCCCTCAATCTCACACAAATTATCAACAAACCTACCAGGTACAACCCTAAATATGTAAACATGGGCACCCTCATAGATATCATCCTGACAAATGTACCCTCTAAATACACCTCCGCTGTCTTCAACCAGGATCTCAGCGATCACTGCCTTATTGCCTGCGTCCGTAATGGGTCCGCGATCAAACGACCACCCCTCATCACTGTCAAACGCTCCCTAAAACACTTTAGCGAGCAGGCCTTTCTAATTGACCTGGCCCGGGTATCCTGGATGGATATTGACCTCATTCCGTCAGAGGATGCCTGGTTGTTCTTTAAAAGTGCTTTCCTCTCAATCTTAAATAAGCATGCCCCATTCAAAAAATTCAGAACTAAGAACAGATATAGCCCCTGGTTCTCCTCAGACTTGACTGCCCTTGACCAGCACAAAAACATCCTGTGGCGTACTGCATTAGCATCAAACAGCCCCCGCGATATGCAACTTTTTAGGGAAGTCAGGAACCAATATACACAATCAGTTAGGAAAGCAAAGGCTAGCTTTTTCAAACAGAAATTTGCATCCTGTAGCACTAACTCCAAAAAGTTTTGGGACACTGTAAAGTCCATGGAAAATAAGAGCACCTCCTCCCAACTGCCCACTGCACTGAGGCTAGGAAACACTGTCCAACCGATAAATCTACAATAATCGAGAATTTCAACAAGTATTTTGCTACGGCTGGCCATGCTTTCCACCTGGCTACCACTACCCCGGCCACCAGCTCTGCACCCTCCGCTGCAACTTGCCCATACCCCCCCCCCCCCCCCCCCCCCCCCCCCCCACTTCTCCTTCACACAAATTCAGACAGCTGATGTTCTAAAAGAGCTAACAAATCTGGACCCCTACAAATCAGCTGGGCTAGACAATCTGGACCCTTTCTTTCTAAAATTAGCCGCCGAAATTGTCGCAACCCCTATTACTAGCCTGTTCAACCTCTCTTTCGTAACGTCTGAGATCCCCAGAGATTGGAAAGCTGCCGCGGTCATCCCCCTCTTCAAAGGGGGTGACACTCTAGATCAAACTGTTACAGACCTATATCCATCCTGCCCTGCCTTTCGAAAGTATTTGAAAGCCAAGTTAACAAACAGATTTACATTTTACTCATTTAGCAGACGCTCTTATCCAGAGCGACTTACAGTTAGTGAATACATATATATTATATATTTTTTAAATACTGGCCCCCCGTGGGAAACGAACCCACAACCCTGGCGTTGCAAACGCCATGCTCTATCAACTGAGCTACATCCCTGCCGGCCATTCCCTCCCCTACCCTGGACGACGCTGGGCCAATTGTGCGCCGCCCATGAGTCTCCCGGTCGCGGCCGGCTGCGACAGAGCCTGGATTCGAACCAGGATCTCTAGTGGCACAGTTAGCACTGCGATGCAGTGCCTTAGACCTGATTCGAAATGATCACCGACCATTTCGAATCCCACCGTACCTTCTCCGCAATGCAATCCGGTTTCCGAGCTGGTCATGGGTACACCTCAGCCACGCTCAAGGTCCTAAACGATATTATAAACGCGATCGATAAAAGACAGTACTGTGCAGCCGTCTTCATCGACCTGGCCAAGGCTTTCGACTCTGTCAACCACCAAATTCTTATTGGCAGACCAAATAGCCTTGGTTTCTCTAATGACTGCCTCACCTGGTTCACCAACGACTTCTCAGATAGAGTTCAATGTGTCAAATCGGAGGGCCTGTTGTCTGGACCTCTGGCCGTCTCTATGGGCGTGCCACAGGTTTCAATTCTCGGGCCGACTCTACTCTCTGTGTATATCAATGATGTCGCACTTGCTGCTGGTGACGCTCGGATCTACCTCTATGCAGACGACACCATTTTGTATACATCTGGCCCTTCATTGGACACTGTGTTAACAAACCTCCAAACGAGCTTCAATGCCATACAACACTCCTTCCGTAGCCTCCAACTGCTCTTAAACACTAGTAAAACTAAATGCATGCTCTTCAACCGAACGCTGCTTGCACCCGCCCACCCGACTAGAATCACTACTTTTGGCGGGTCTGACCTAGAGTATGTGGACAACTACAAATACCTAGGTGTCTGGTTAGACTGTAAACTCTCCTTCCAGACTCACATTAAGCATCTCCAATCAAAAGTTAGATCTAGAATCGGCTTCCTATTTAGCAACAAAGCCTCCTTCACTCATGCTGCCAAACATGATCTCGTAAAACAGACTATCCTACCGATCCTTGACTTCGGCGATGTCATTTACAAAATAGCCTCCAACACCCTACTCAGCAAATTGGATGTAGTCTATCACAGTGCCATCCGTTTTGTCACCAAAGCCCCATATACTACCCACCATTGTGACCTTTACGCTCTTGTTGGCTGGCCCTCACTACATATTCGTCGCCAAACCCACTGGCTACAGGTCATCTATAAATCACTGCTAGGCAAATCCCCGTCTTATCTTAGCTCACTGGTCACCATAGCAACACCCACCCGTAGTCTGCGCTCCAGCAGGTATATCTCACTGGTCATCCCCAAAGCCAACACCTCCTTTGGCCGCCATTCCTTCCAGTTCTCTGCTGCCAATGACAGGAACGAACTGCAAAAATCTCTGAAGCTGGAGACTCTTATCTCCATCACTAACTTTAAGCGTCAGTTGTCAGAGCAGCTTACCGATCACTGCACCTGTACACAGCCTTTCTGAAATTAGCCCACCAAACTACCTCATCCCCATATTGTTATTTATTTTGCTAATTTGCACCCCAGTATCTCTATTTGCACATCATCTTCTGCACATCTATCATTACAGTATTGTACGAAATTGTAACTATTTTGCACTATGGCCTATTTATTACCTTACCTCCATAACTTACTATATTTGAACACACTGTATATATATTTTCTGTTGTATTTTTGACTTTATGATTTGTTTACCCCATATGTAACTCTGTGTTGTTTTTATCACACTGCTTTGCTTTATCTTGGCCAGGTTGCAGTTGTAAATGAGAACTTGTTCTCAACTGGCTTACCTGGTTAAATAAAGTTGAAAAAAATAAAAAATATATAGCCTACAGATAATCTGTCGGGCAGAGAGAGCACGCAGCTCTCAAACAGCTGGTTGTTGCGTGGAGTGATGACCAATAGTGGTTGCAAAGTTGTTCCAAGTTATGATATCTGCCAGTAAATGCTAAGGCAAGAATGGGTATGCAAACCAGGTATTTAAAAAGTTAAAAGTCTTGGTAGAATATTTGCAATTCACAATTCAGTCATCATGGAATAGCTTACCTGGAAAATCAGACATTTTCTCTAGGATCTTTGGTCCTTGAAGTTATGGTAGCTGATTTTTAGAAGTTCTCCTACTCCAATATACAATTATTCTGTGATTTCATTTCTGATAATTATTTTTGAGAGAGGCCTAAGTGCTTTCGTTTGTTTCCTGCTGTTTCATTTGAAGCGTGTTGCGGTCAAAAAAACATGTTTTATGAGCAAGACAACATCGTGTTCCATTACAAAGGGAACCCGGTTTTTGGTCGCTTTCTTGTTTTAAAACATGATACAGTAACCCCTCAATAACTCTTCAAAATCTCAAATTGCGAGACTGACTACTGTAGCTACCACATGGACAGACTTCATTAGTGTGTTTGTGTTGGGAGCATGCAGTCTATTTAGTCAGGCAATGCCCACATTATTCTGACATATTTTAGAATGAAAAAAATGCATAATGCCATTGGGTAGGCCTATATAAAAAATAATAATTTTTAAGGTGGTAATGCAAACTTTTTTGCATACATTTGAGGGAGTTTTCTTTCTATAGGCTATTGCAACAATTAAATATAAAATGTAGGTCCTTAAATTACAATTAAGTGCTAGAAAAAGTCCTTGAAAGTACTTGAATTGGACTTGTCAATGTCTGTATGATCCCTGTATAGGCTACTTGCTCATCCCCCAAATGAAAGATAAAATCACCTTCTATTGAAGTTATGCACGCATCATTTGCTTTCCTGTCAGATCTTGACCCAGGCAAGTATTTCATTTTTATTCGGGCCAGTAGCTTTCAATTGGCACTGGCCCGGTGTGCCACTGGCAAATTTACCTGAATGTCGAGCCCTGCTGTGCAGTATGTGTAGGGCTTACAGTGAGGGAAAAAAGTATTTGATCTCCTGCTGAATTTGTACGTTTGCCCACTGACAAAGACATGATCAGTCTATAATTTTAATGGTAGGTTTATTTGAACAGTGAGAGACAGAATAACAACAACAAACATCCAGAAAAACGCATGTCAAGAATGTTCATTTTCATTTTAATGAGGGAAATAAGTATTTGACCCCTGTGCAAAACATGACTTAGTACTTGGTGGCAAAACCCTTGTTGGCGATCACAGAGGTCAGACATTTCTTGTAGTTGGCCACCAGGTTTGCACACATCTCAGGAAGAATTTTGTTCCACTCCTCTTTGCAGATCTTCTCCAAGTCATTAAGGTTTCGAGGCTGACGTTTGGCAACTCGAACCTTCAGCTCCCTCCACAGATTTTCTATGGGATTAAGGTCTGGAGACTGGCTAGGCCACTCCAGGTCCTTAATATGCTTATTCTTGAGCCACTCCTTTGTTGCCTTGGCTGTGTGTTTTGGGTCATTGTCATGCTGGAATACCCATCCACGACCCATTTTCAATGTCCTGGCTGAGGGAAGGAGGTTCTCACCCGAGATTTGACGGTACATGGCCCCCGTCCATCGTCCCTTTGATGCGGTGAAGTTGTCCTGTCCCCTTAGCAGAATAACACCCCCAAAGCATAATGTTTCCTCCTCCATGTTTGACGGTGGGGATGGTGTTCTTGGGGTCATAGGCAGCATTCCTCCTCCTCCAAACACGGCGAGTTGAGTTGATGCCAAAGAGCTCCATTTTGGTCTCATCTGACCACAACACTTTCACCCAGTTCTCCTCTGAATCATTCAGATGTTCATTGGCAAACTTCAGGCCCTGTATATGTGCTTTCTTGAGCAGGGGGACCTTGCGGGCACTGCAGGATTTCAGTCCTTCACGGCGTAGTGTGTTACCAATTGTTTTCTTGGTGACTATGGTCCCAGCTGCCTTGAGATCATTGACAAGATCCTCCTGTGTAGTTCTGGGCTGATTCCTTACCGTTCTCATGATCATTGCAACTCCACGAGGTGAGATCTTGCATGGAGCCCCAGGCCGAGGGAGATTGACAGTTATTTTGTGTTTCTTCCAATACTCCCTCTCGCTCTCTCTCCCCTCTCCCTCTCTCTCGATCTCTCTCTCCCCCTCCCTCTCTCGCGCTCTCTTATCCCCCTCCCTTTCCCCCTCTCTCTCGCTCTCTCCCTACCTCGCTCTCTCTCTCGCTCTTCCCCCTCCCTCTCTTTCCCCCTCCCTCTTTCTCCCCACTCCCTCTCTCCCCCGCCCTCTCTCTCCCCACTCCCTCTCTCTTGATCTCTCTCTCTCCATCCCTCAAGCTCTCTCAATCGCTCGCCCTCTCTTGCTCTCCATCCCTCTCTCTGGCTCTCCCTCCCTCTCTCTGGCTCTCCCTCCCCCTCACTCTCTCTCTTTAGCTCTCCCTCCCTCTCTCAATCACTCTCTCCCTATCGCTCGCTCTCTCTCCCCCTCCCCTCTCTCTTGATCTATCTCCCCCTCCTCTCCCTCTCACGCTCTCTCCCTACCTCTCTCCCCCCTCTCGCTCTCTCTCGCTCTTCCCCCCCCTCCCTCCCTCTCGCCGCTCCCTCCCCCACTCGCTCGCTCTCTCTTCCCTCTCCCCCTCTAGATATTTCAATTCAATTTAAGGGCATAATTGGCATTGGAAACACATGTTTACATTGCCAAAGCAAGTGAAATAGATAATAAACAAAAGTGAAATAAACAATACAAAAAATGTACAGTAAACATTACACTCACAAAAGTTCCAAAATAATAGAAATTTCTCTCACTCTCTCTTGATATCTCTCTCGCTCTCTCTCTTATCCTCTCTCTCGCTCTCTCCCTCCCTTGCGCTCTTTCTCTCTTTCTCGCTCTCCCTCGCTCTCCCCCTCCCTCTCTCCCCCTGCAAAGACTAATTGGCACAAATAGGGTGCAATTACTGCCTGGGCTGGGACATGGAGGGGCAGGGTTTAGTGGGGTGGGAGGGAAGGTATGGATGTCCAGTTGTCCTAATAGGATGAAGGGGAGGGAGGCGTGCAAAGGGGATTGGTCAGCTCCTCTTGAGGTGATGGATTGGGCCCAACAACAGCGCTTCATACTTCAGGGATGTCAGGAGGAACATATGGAAATGCCAACAAAGCAAGTCACTGAGGTATAAGAAAGCCCTACTTCACAGAGGAAGGATAACATTCTTCCAGGCCCTCTTTGTCTAACAAGATTCTTGCTGACAGGATCTACATTCAGATTCTCACACAAACATACACACATATAGGCTAAGGGTCTATACTGCCTCATACGTCCTTAGTGTTTCCCTACACACTATGCTCTCTCTCCTGTAACCTTTCACCTACATTTTACTTAACCAATGGCTGAGCAGCAGGCACATTTTTTTGAAGGGAGTGTGTGTGTGCTGCTCCACGGCTTAGCTGTTGGCTGACTGCTGGCTGTATGTCATAAACCGTTTTTTAATGACGAAGCAAGATGCCTGTGTAATGCTGCTTTCATACTAAAGGCCTTAGCTTCAGCCTGAGAAACCCGCTCAACTCTAATCGATCTTTAAAAAGTACCAGAAGTTACAACTAGAAGGGAGTTTTGTGCTACCTCCTGATACTCTATTCCCCAGTAGCATATACATCTTTGCCAGGGAGAATCGATTGGGTGTGAAGTAGTGGTACTCGGTACAAGTTATCGTTACTCATTGTGTATCTTTTATTACTTTTTATTATTACGCGTTTTACTTTTCTATTATTTTTCTATTTTCTTTCTCTCTGCATTGTTGGGAAGGGCCCGTAAGTAAGCATTTCACTGTTACATGCTGACTAGACCGGACACGCGCATGAGTCTGCCATTGCGCGCATGTTGATTTTGGCCATCCACGCCAGACGCGATCAGGACATGTTGGTTGAAATATCAAAACGAACTCTGAACCAAGTATATTCATTTGGGGACAGGGGGGTGAGGCAGTGCAGGATAACATTTTGTTTTAATCTCTGTCAGTGGAGCTTGGTGCCCTCTCCCCTGCCTTTGTGTGGGGTGTGTGACCATGCTGGGAGGTAAATGGAAGGGCTGCAGTGTTTCCGGTATCCTTGGCGACACAGTAGGGATTTGGAGCGAGCGAGGGGGTTCGTGGGAGAGGGGTGCTGTATAATTTTTTTGGGGGTGATGAATATTCCTCAGTAGGTTGTTGTTTCCTGTCTCTACTGAAGAGAGCCTTCTGAAGGAACTGACGAATTGAAAGCATTGGAGTGAGAGAGAGAGATGTGGGAATGGAGGGGGGTACAGGTCCCTATATGGAAGGGGAGGGAGAGGAGGGGTGGGCAGTAATGCTATTGAAAGAGGAGCAGGGAGAAAGGAAAACGAATGGAATGTGTCAACTGAAAATGCCATTGGTGGTCAGCGGCTTGATGTGGAGAGACGTTTCTGTTGAATGGCCGAGTGTTCTCTGCTCTCCGTCTCGCCCTCTGTCTCGCTCTCTCTGTCTCGCTCTCTCTGTCTCGCTCTCTCTGTCTCGCTCTCTCTCCCTCGCTCCGTCTCCCTCGCTCCGTCTCTCCCTCGCGCCGTCTCTCCCTCTCTCCGTCTCTCCCTCGCTCCGTCTCTCTCTCGCTCCGTCTCTCTCTCGCTCCGTCTCTCTCTCGCTCCGTCTCTCCCTCGCTCCGTCTCTCCCTCGCTCCGTCTCTCCCTCGCCCCGTCTCTCCCTCGCCCCGTCTCTCCCTCGCCCCGTCTCTCCCTCGCCCCGTCTCTCCCTCGCCCCGTCTCTCCCTCGCTCCGTCTCTCCCTCGCCCCGTCTCTCCCTCGCCCCGTCTCTCCCTCGCTCAGTCTCTCCCTCGCCCCGTCTCTCCCTCGCCCCGTCTCTCCCTCGCCCCGTCTCTCCCTCGCCCCGTCTCTCCCTCGCTCCGTCTCTCCCTCGCTCCGTCTCTCCCTCGCCCCGTCTCTCCCTCGCCCCGTCTCTCCCTCGCCCCGTCTCTCCCTCGCTCCGTCTCTCCCTCGCTCCGTCTCTCCCTCGCCTCGTCTCTCCCTCGCCCCGTCTCTCCCTCGCCCCGTCTCTCCCTCGCTCCGTCTCTCCCTCTCTCCGTCTCTCCTTCGCGCCGTCTCTCCTTCGCTCCGTCTCTCCCTCGCTCCGTCTCTCCCTCGCTCCGTCTCTCCCTCGCATCGTCTCTCCCTCGCTCCGTCTCTCCCTCGCCTCGTCTCTCCCTCGCCCCGTCTCTCCCTCGCTCCGTCTCTCCCTCGCTCCGTCTCTCCCTCGCTCCGTCTCCCTCGCTCCGTCTCTCCCTCGCTCCGTCTCTCCCTCGCTCCGTCTCTCCCTCGCCCCGTCTCTCCCTCGCTCCGTCTCTCCTTCGCGCCGTCTCTCCCTCGCTCTGCATCTCTCTCTCCCTCTGCCACTCTCTCTCTCCCTCTGCCACTCTCTTGCTCTGCCTCTCTCTGCCTCAAAGAAAATCTAACTCCACCTCTCATCCCCCCTCACTCTTTTACTCTTCTCACTCAATTTCCAACCGTTTCTCTTCCCATGCAGTTTTTTTTCCTGAGTGATTTTATGTACTACTGCTGGTTGTGTGTAGACCTACTAAATCTGTCTCTCTGTCTAATGACACGCCGCCAAAAACATTGAGGACACTTTCAATCTGGTTGTGGAAATGTACACTACGATGTTAGTGTCTCTGAGAATCAGATGAGAGGGAAACATTGAAAGAACCTCTGGTTAACGTACAGTATATTCTTTATTTTGATTTATAACATTTTCAGTCTAATATTATGCAGTGTACGGAACTGGGATTGATGTATGCTTCACGTGCCTTCAGAAAGTATTCATACCCCTTGACTTACTCCACATTTTGTTGTTACAGCTTGAATTCAAAATAGCTTAAATTGATTTTTCTCTCACCCATCTACACACAATACCCCATAATGACAGTGAAAACATGTTTTTAGACATTTTTGCACATTTATTGAAAATGAAATACAGAAATATTCAATTTACATAAGTACATTTACATTTTAGAATCACCTTCGGCAGAAATTACAGCTGTGAGTCAGTCGTCTTGGGTATGTCTCTATCAACTTTGCACATCTGGATTTGGGGATTTCCTCCCATTCTTCATTGCAGATTTTCTCAAGCTCTGTTAAGTTAGATGGGGAGTGGTGGTGAACAGCAATCTTCAAGTCTTTCCACAGATTTTCAATGGGATTCAAGTGTGGGCTTTGGCTGGGCAACTCAAGGACTTTCACATTCTTGTTCTGAAGCCATTCCAGCGTTGCTTTGGCTGTATGCTTGGGGTCATTGTCCTGTTAGAACGTACATTTTTGCCCCAGTCTCTCAGTCCCTGCTGTTGAAAAGCATCCCCATAGCATGATGCTACCACCACCATACTTCATGGTAGGGATGGTGTTAGATGGGAAATGAGCTGTGCCTGGTTTTCTCCAGACATAGCGCTTTGCATTCAGGCCAAAGAGTTAAATTATTCGGAGTCTTTAATGTGCCTTTTTTGCATACTCCAGGTGTGCTGTCATGTGGTTTCCGTCTGGCCACTCTCCCATGAAGCCCTGATTGGTGAAGTGCTGTGGAGACTGTTGTCCAGCTGGCAGCCATTCTTCCATCTCAGCCAAGGAACTCTGTAGTTCTGTCATTGGGTTTTCGGTCACCTCCCTGACCCAGGTCCTTCTTGCCCGGTTGCTCAGTTTGGTCGGATGGCCAGCTCTAGGCAGAGTCTGGGAAGTTCCATATTTTTTCAATCTCCCAATGATGGAAACCACTGTGGTCTTGGAAATGTTCAAGACTTTAGAAATGGTTCTATGCCCTTCCCCAGATATATACTGCCTTCGGAAAAGATTCAGACCCCTTGACTTTTTCCACATTTTGTTAAGTTACAGGCTTATTCTAAAATGGATTAAATAAAAAAACGTCCTCAGCAATATACACACAATACCCCATAATGACAAAGCAAAAACAGGTTTTTAGAAATGTTTGCACATGTATTAAAAATAGAAAACAGATACCTTATTTACATAAATATTCAGTCACTTCGCTATGAAACTCGAAATTGAGCTCAGGTGCTTCCTGTTTCCATTGATCATCCTTGAGATGTTTCTACAACTTGATTGGAGTCCACCTGTGGTAAATTCAATGGATTGGACATGATTTGGAAAGGCACACACCTGTCTATATAAGGTCCCACAGTTGACAGTGCATGTCAGAGCAAAAACCAAGCCATGACGTCGAAGGCATTGTCCGAAGAGCTCCGAGACAGGATTGTGTTGAGGCACAGATCTGGAGAATGGTACCAAAAAATGTCGGCAACATTGAAGGTCCCCAAGAACACAGTGGCCTCCATAATTCTTAAATGGAAGAAGTTTGGAACCACCAAGACTCTTCCTAGAGCTGGCCACCCGGCCAAACTGAGCAGTCGGGGGAGAAGGGCCTTGGTCAGGGAGGTGACCAAGAACCCGATGGTCACTCTGACAGAGCTCTTGAGTTCCTCTGTGGAGATGGGAGAACCTTCCAGAAGGACAACCATCTCTGCAGCACTCCACCAATCAGGCCTTTATGGTAGAGTGGTCAGACGGCGGAAGCCAATTCTCAGTAAAAGGCACATGACAGCCCGCTTGGGAGTTTGCCAAAAGGCACCTAAAGACTCTCAGACCATGAGAAACAAGATTCTCTGGTCTGATGAAACTTAGATTGAATGCTTTGGCCTGAATGCCAAGCATCACGTCTGGAGGAAACCTGGCACCACCAGCATGGTGGTGGCAGCATCATGCTGTGTGGATGTTTTTCAGCAGCAGGGACTGGGAGACTAGTCAGGATCGAGGAAAAGATGAATGGACCAAAGTACAGGGAGATCCTTGATGAAAAACTGCTCCAGAGTGCTCTGGACCTCAGACTGGGCGAAGGTTCACCTTCCAAGCCAAGATGACAACGCAGGAGTGGCTTCGGGACACGTTTCTGAATGTCCTTGAGTGGCCCAGCCAGAGCCCGGACTTGAACCCCATCGAACATCTTTGGAGAGACCTGAAAGAAAGATGTGCAGCGATGCTCCCCATCCAACCTGACAGAGCTTGAGAGGATCTGCAAAGAAGAATGGGAGAAACTCCCCAAATATAGGTGTCAAGCTTGTAGCGTCATACCCAAGAAGACTCGAGGCTGTAGTCGCTGCCAAATGTGCTTCAACAAAGTATTGAGGAAAGGATCTGAATACTTATTCAAATGTCATATTTCCGTTTTTTAATAAATTAGCAAACATTTCTAAACCAGTTTTCGCTTTGTCATTATGGGGTATTGTGTGTTGAGGGTGTGCCGGTCTTGACACCTTAATACTGCCATAAATTAGAGATAGGATAATCTATCTCTGGCCCTATAGTATGGTGAAAGGAATGTCCTTTGTTTCAGAGACTTTTGCCGCCCAAAAACTTCAACGTCCAACAATGAACATTGGGACAATATATTTCAACATCCAAACGTTTGGAATGATGAGTAATGGAATATGGAAAATGAATGTCGATTTTGTGATGTCATAACAAATTGTATAAAGGCATTAGAACGAAAACAGTGTGACTTGAAGAGCTTTAACACTGTGTATATCAAGTTTACATCCTTTACATTGTGTAGAAAATATCAAGGAGGAAGACAATGTTTTTGTGAAAATTGGAATGTGATTTTGGACGAATTAAACTGGTGGAGCAATGGACATTAGACTAGTGGTAATGTGTCCTTAGGTCTGGAGTCCAAATTTGAGATTTTTGGTTCCAACCGCCGTGTCTTTGTGAGACGCAGAGTAGGTGAACGGATAATCTCTGCATGTGTGGCTCCCACCGTGAAGCATGGAGGAGGAGGTGTGATGGTGTGGGGGTGCTTTGCTGGTGACACTGTCTGTGATTTATTTAGAATTCAAGGGACACTTAAACAGCATGGCTACCACAGCATTCTGCAGCGATACGCCATCCCTTCTGTTTTGCGCTTAGTGTGACTATCATTTGTTTTTCAACAGGACAATGACACAACACACCTCCCAGGCTGTGTAAGGGCTATTTGACCAAGAAGGAGAGTGATGGAGTACTGCATCAGATGACCTGGCCTCCACAATCCCCCTACCTCAACCAAATTGAGATGGTTTTGGATGAGTTGGACCGCAGAGTGAAGGAAAAGCAGCCAACAAGTGCTAAGCATATGTGGGAACTCCTTCAAGACTGTTGGAAAATCATTCCAAGTGAAGCTGGTTGAGAGAATGCCAAGAGTGTGGAAAGCTGTCGTCAATGCAAAGGGTGGCTACTTTGAAGAATCTAAAATATAAACTATATTTTGATTTGTTTAACTTTTTTGGTTACTACATGGTTCCATATATGTTATGTCATAGTTCTGATGTCTTTACTATTATTCTACAATGTAGAAAATACTAAAAATAAAGAAAAACCATGGAATGAGTAGGTGTGTCCAAACCTTTGACTGGTACTGAATGTAAATTTAATATTTCTGTATTTCATTTGATACATTTGCTAAAATATCTATTAACATGTGTTCACTTCATCATTATGGGGTATTGTGTGCACATGGGTGAGATTTTGCATTTAATTAATCCATTTTGAATTCAGGCTGTAATACAACTAAATGTGGAATATGTCAAGGGGTATGAATACTTTCTGAAGGCACTGAATGTATGTTTTTTTTTTAAGACTAACAGATCTTATTAGAATACGTACATAGTTTGATCCTCTTTGGCCCAGACAGAATAAATATGGTATTGACATAAGCGTATATAAAATCTGCCCCCCGTCCACATGTTTTGGAAGCACTCCATTATGCCGCAAATACAATTACATGAATAACAAGTCACTTTAATAATAATAACCTCTCTATATTAATATTCTATTAGATCACAAATATAGCTGTTATGTTGAGTTTCTGGTATCGAGAAGTTCAGGATGAAAGAATATACATGAACAATTATATGGAGAGTTGATACAAAGTATTTAATAGACACGGTACCAGGTTCGTTTAACAAATGGCACCTGATGTTCTAGCAGTGTCTGAATCCTGGCTTAGGAAGGCCACCAAAAATTCAGAAATGTCCATCCCCAACTACAACATTTTCTGTCTAGATAGAACTGCCAAAGGGGGTGGAGTTGCAATCTACTGTAGAGATAGCCTGCAGGCTATCATACTATCCAGGTCTGTGCCCAAACAGTTTGAGCTTCTACTTCTAAAAATCCACCTTTACAGAAATAAGTCTCTCACTGTTGCCGCTTGCTACAGACCCCCCTCAGCCCCCAGCTGTGCCCTGGACAGCATATGTGAATTGATTGCCCCCCATTTATCCTCAGAGTTCGTACTGCTTGGTGACCTAAATTGGGATAGGCTTAACACCCCAGCCATCCTACAATCCAAACTAGATGCCCTCAATCTCACACAAATTATCAACGAACCTACCAGGTACAACCCTAAATCCGTAAACATGGGTACCCTCATGGATATCATCCTGACTAACTTACCCTCTAAATACACCTCCGCTGTCTTCAACCAGGATCTCAGCGATCACTGCCTTATTGCCTGCGTCCGTAACGGGTCCGCGATCAAACGACCACCCCTCATCACTGTCAAACGCTCCCTAAAACACTTTAGCGAGCAGGCCTTCCTAATTGACCTGGCCCAGGTATCCTGGATGGATATAGATCTAATTCCGTCAGTAGATGATGCCTGGTTGTTCTTTAAAAGTAATTTCCTCTCAATCTTAAATAAACATTACCCATTCAAAAAATACAGAACTAAGAACAGATATAGCCCCTGGTTCTCCTCAGACTTGACTGCCCTTGACCAGCACAAAAACATCCTGTGGCGTACTGCATTAGCATCAAATAGCCCCTGCGATATGCAACTTTTCAGGGAAGTTAGGAACCAATATACACAAGCAGTTAGGAAAGCAAAAGCTAACTTTTTCAAACAGAAATTTGCACCCTGTAGCACTAACTCCAAAAAGTTTTGGGACACTGTAAAGTCCATGGAGAATAAGAGCACTTTCTCCCAGCTGCCCACTGCACTGAGGCTAGGAAACACTATCACCACCGATAAATCTACAATAATCAAGAACTCAACAAGCATTTTGCTACGGCTGGCCATGCTTTCCACCTGGCTACCACTACCCCGGCCACCAGCTCTGCACCCTCCGCTGCAACTTGCCCATACCCCCCCCCCCCGCTTCTCCTTCACACAAATTCAGACAGCTGATGTTCTGAAAGAGCTGCAAAATCTGGACCCCACAGATAATCTAGCATCTGGGCTAGACAATCTGGACCCTTTCTTTCTAAAACTAGCCGCCGAAATTGTCGCAACCCCTATTACTAGCCTGTTCAACCTCTCTTTCATAACGTCTGAGATCCCCAGAGATTGGAAAGCTGCCGCGGTCATCCCCCTCTTCAAATGGGGTGACACTCTAGATCCAAACTGTTACATACCTATATCCATCCTGCCCTGCCTTTCGAAAGTTTTTGAAAGCCAAGTTAACAAACAGATCACCGACCATTTCGAATCCCGGTTTCCGAGCTGGTCATGGGTGCACCTCAGCCACGCTCAAGGTCCTAAACGATATTATAACCGCAATCGATAATAGACAGTACTGTGCAGCCGTCTTCATCGACCTGGCCAAGGCTTTTGACTCTGTCAACCACCGCATTCTTATTGGCAGACTAAATAGCCTTGGTTTCTCAAATGACTGCCTCGCCTGGTTCACCAACTACTTCTCAGATAGAGTCAATGTGTCAAATCGGAGGGCCTGTTGTCTGGACCTATGGCAGTCTCTATGGGCGTGCCACAGGGTTCAAATCTTGGGCCGACTCTTTTCTCCGTGTATATCAATGATGTCGCTCTTGCTGCTGGTGACTCTCAGATCCACCTCTACGCAGACGACACCATTTTGTATACATCTGGCCCTTCATTGGACAATGTGTTAACAAACCTCCAAACGAGCTTCAATGCCATACAACACTCCTTCAGCTCTTAAACACTAGTAAAACTAAATGCATGCTCTTCAATCGAACGCTGCTGGCACCCGCCCACCCGACTAGAATCACTACTCTCGACGGGTTTGACCTAGAGTATGTGGACAATTACAAATACCTAGGTGTCTGGTTAGACTGTAAACTCTCCTTCCAGACTCACATTAAGCATCTCCAATCCAAAGTTAAATCTAGAATCGGCTTCCTATTTCCCAACAAAGCCTCCTTCGCTCATGCTGCCAAACATGCCCTCGTAAAACTGACTATCCTACTGATCCTTGACTTCGGCGATGTCATTTACAAAATAGCCTCCAACACTCTACTCAGCAAATTGGATGTAGTCTATCACAGTGCCATCTGTTTTGTCACCAAAGCCCCATATACTACCCACCACTGTGACCTGTACGCTCTTGTTGGCTGGTCCTCACTACATATTTGTCGCCAAACCCACTGGCTCCAGGCCATCTATAAATCACTGCTAGGCAAATTCCCGCCTTATCTTAGCTCATTGGTCACCATAGCAACACCCACCCGTAGTATGTGCTCCAGCAGGTATCTCACTGGTCATCCCCAAAGCCAACACCTCCTTTGGCCGCCATTGCTGCCAATGACTGGAACGAATTGCAAAAATCTCTGAAGCTGGAGACTCTTATCTCCCTCACTAACTTTAAGCATCAGTTGTCAGAGCACCTTACCGATCACTGCACCTGTACACAGCCCATCTGAAATTAGCCCACCCAACTACCTCATCCCCATATTGTTATTTATTTTGCTCATTTGCACCCCAGTATCTCTATTTGCACATCATCTCTTGCACATCTATCATTCAAGTGTTAATACTAATTGTAATTATTTTGCACTATAGCCTATTTATTGCCTTACCTCCATAACTTGCTACATTTGCACACACTGTATATATATTTTCTGTTGTATTTTTGACTTTATGTTTTGTTTTACCCCATATGTAACTCGCACTGCTTTGCTTTATCTTGGCCAGGTCGCAGTTGTAAATGAGAACTTGTTCTCAACTGGCTTACCTGGTTAAATAAAGGTGAAATAAAAAAATTTAAAAATAAAAATGCATTATTTCCAAATATACCCATCCTCTTAGACATGTTACCAAGAAAAACATACATAGAAATACATTCTTAACATCATGACATCCTCCACACGAATACAATGATACATGACACTTTCTAAGTTACATGGAGATTATAATATCTTCAGAAGAATATATCTCAATAAAAATATCATCAGTCTTCTTCATCCATGTTCATTCAGAGGAACCCCAAGCGTTTCTCTGGTTATTTGGGGCGCTATCTGATCGAAGAGGTAGTCTTGTTTCCACATTTCCACTCCTGTCTTTCTCTAATATATATTGATGGCAAGTATGTACAACATGCATCTCCCCTATAATCGCATACATCCCCCTTTATCTACTGTCATAGCATCCAATGCTATGCGATTATCACTTGTGTATTGTTCAATGAGTGACCTCTCAGACCCAATTGCTTGAAAATCCAATACTTTTAATAGGTATAATATTCAACTCTTTTCAACCATGACTCTGTTCTGATAATATGCCTGAGGAGAGATGCACAGGATAACACTCTGGTTTCAGTCCCTATTAAATCAGTACAGCCTTGGACTATTTAGGATTGAGGAATTCAACCAAAAGTCAGATCAGATGAAAATAGCATAAACATTCATATGTCTCAAATACCAAAACCCCATGATAGGAACCAATTAAGTTATTGCCTAGCAACAGAGATATGTACCACTCTAAACAACCAGATCAATACCACCCAATACTTTAAATGTATATAGTGACTAATATGTGAATACGGTAACTTAATAACCAACATGTTCATGATCAGTCACAATCCTCACATTAACTTACATGTTTCAAACATTAAGATTCAAAATGTCTACTCGAAATACATCATATATGTGTATCCTAAGACATTACCATAATGTATCGCTGTTTTAACCATAATATCTAAATAAGACAGTTATCTCAATTGTACAAGCAATACCCTTCATGCTAAAAATAGTTATACTAATGATTTACTTAAATCACTCAGTCATCTTATGAATTATAACCAAAACCGAATTACTTATCTCAACCAAATTTAGAATGACAATTCTTAGTGATTACATTGGTCCTATCATTCAAAATTAAAACCCTCAACTTTAGCACCCATTACAACTGTCAGAATGTGCACTTATATTAACATACAGTATAAATATCCATAATTCTATTATGACCTTCCACATTCTGAGAATAAATACAGATCATCCTCTCAATTCATTCCTAGTACTATTAATTTAGCGGTGTGTGTATATACCTCCTACCCAAATTAGCAAATTTAGATACATCCCCCAAAAAATTATTACCACAGCTAACCAACCTCTTCCTTCCCCGGCACTTAAATCTTCTGGTGTCTCTTCATTATGTTCTTCAGACAGCTTCATAGTTCAAAATGACTTGCTCATGACAATGTCCCAACTGAAATGTCTCATCGAGTCACCACCATCTCTACAACCTCATTGTGTCTTGTCCATTTGCCAATCAATATACAGTGGGGGGAAAAAGTATTTAGTCAGCCACCAATTGTGCAAGTTCTCCCACTTAAAAAGATGAGAGAGGCCTGTAATTTTCATCATAGGTACACGTCAACTATGACAGACAAAATGAGATTTTTTTTCTCCAGAAAATCATATTGTAGGATTTTTTATGAATGTATTTGCAAATTATGGTAGAAAATAAGTATTTGGTCAATAACAAAAGTTTCTCAATACTTTGTTATATACCCTTTGTTGGCAATGACACAGGTCAAACGTTTTCTGTAAGTCTTCACAAGGTTTTCACACACTTGCTGGTATTTTGGCCCATTCCTCCATGCAGATCTCTAGAGCAGTGATGTTTTGGGGCTGTCGCTGGGCAACACAGACTTTCAACTCCCTCCAAAGATTTTCTATGGGGTTGAGATCTGGAGACTGGCTAGGCCACTCCAGGACCTTGAAATGCTTCTTACGAAGCCACTCCTTCGTTGCCCGGGCGGTGTGTTTGGGATCATTGTCATGCTGAAAGACCCAGCCACGTTTCATCTTCAATGCCCTTGCTGATGGAAGGAGGTTTTCACTCAAAATCTCACAATACATGGCCCCATTCATTCTTTCCTTTACACGGATCAGTCGTCCTGGTCCCTTTGCAGAAAAACAGCCCCAAAGCATGATGTTTCCACCCCCATGCTTCACAGTAGGTATGGTGTTCTTTGGATGCAACTCAGCATTCTTTGTCCTCCAAACACGACGAGTTGAGTTTTTACCAAAAAGTTATATTTTGGTTTCATCTGACCATATGACATTCTCCCAATCCTCTTCTGGATCATCCAAATGCACTCTAGCAAACTTCAGACGGGCCTGGACATGTACTGGCTTAAGCAGGGGGACACGTCTGGCACTGCATGATTTGAGTCCCTGGCGGCGTAGTGTGTTACTGATGGTAGGCTTTGTTACTTTGGTCCCAGCTCTCTGCAGGTCATTCACTAGGTCCCCCCGTGTGGTTCTGGGATTTTTGCTCACCGTTCTTGTGATCATTTTGACCCCACGGGGTGAGATCTTGAGTGGAGCCCCAGATCGAGGGAGATTATCAGTGGTCTTGTATGTCTTCCATTTCCTAATAATTGCTCCCACAGTTGATTTCTTCAAACCAAGCTGCTTACCTATTGCAGATTCAGTCTTCCCAGCCTGTTGCAGGTCTACAATTTTGTTTCTGGTGTCCTTTGACAGCTCTTTGGTCTTGGCCATAGTGGAGTTTGGAGTGTGACTGTTTGAGGTTGTGGACAGGTGTCTTTTATACTGATAACAAGTTCAAACAGGTGCCATTAATACAGGTAACGAGTGGAGGACAGAGGAGCCTCTTAAAGAAGAAGTTACAGGTCTGTGAGAGCCAGAAATCTTGCTTGTTTGTAGGTGACCAAATACTTATTTTCCACCATAATTAGCAAATAAATTCATTAAAAATCCTACAATGTGATTTTTTTTTTAAATCACGTGTTTACCCAAAACTCACTCAGAGAACAAAAACATCCGAAAATTCTGTGTGTGCCCTTTAAGACTTAACATATTTGACCCGTTAAAACCCCCTAAAATGAAAATAACACTCTATATAACAATTATTTTATGTGGGTTGTGTGTGGTTATTTGAGAAACCCTATTGGAATACAACAAACAAAAATGGCCAGACCTTATTTAATTCGGTAGCTCCCTCTTAAGACCTAATTATAAGAATGCCAGATTTTACTCACTGCTCCACCTAGCCCACAGACTTTTGAAACATCCCAATGAGAGATAAGGAAATCCCCATTTTCCTCGAAGAGAAAGTATACATTTCATTAACATTCAATTATAATCAGCAATCCAAAAATATTAATTTCACACAAAACATGATGCAGATATACCCTGTCCTACCTCACATCAATAATTTCATCAATCTAATCTCTCATAACTACTCCAGAAGAAGATTACATACAATCTCTCAAAATATGAAAAGCACTCGAGGTTCTTTGAGTTTACAAGAAGTATTTTTTAAATGATTACTCTTTATACCTCATTCTTTTTAAGTCTCACAATGATTATCACCTCCAAAATCAGCTTAATTTTATCCCATATCAAATCATCATGGTATCGTTGCTGGATGACTTACCCCTTAGATTGTTCCTGTCACCCCTCTAAACGTACTATTTGAGACATTCACAAATATAATCACTTACTACGCGTAAAGAATCAATGATATTCCAAGTGTCTATTAAAAAGTTGTTTGAGACCATCTCCTACGCCTTCCTTAACATACCACGTTTCATTGAGTTGACTACACCTTCTCTCTAAACCTATAAACCCTTTTTGGTAATGTAATCATCTCCACTTGTTGCATTGATGTTTTAAAATAACAACCTATTGTTTAAAAACTTCAGAACTTACAAAAATGTTTACTACTTCATCAGCCTAATAGTAAAAACGACCTCCCATTGTTCAACGTACCAGAAACAGATTATCGTTTTAAGAATTAAACTTTCTGCGAAACTCACTGGTGTTTAAACAAACTATAAAATGTAATAATAATAATTAGAAATTGTCAAAGAACATTCTATATTCAACTATCTAGATATGTGCTTCACATTACCCTCTGCGTCCTTTACATCCCGATATAGCACAACTAGCACGACTCTCTTTCACCCGTTTATTAAATCATGGCATTAGTAAAGTATATCCACAAACCACTACTACCTAATAACATATTTTCATTGACCTTACTATAAATAATTATTTTAATACCAGTCTACTCAAACAATCCAATGCAACATGTCTCATCTCCCAATTAACCTACTTTCCTTTTAACTCAGAAAACCCTCTACAATCTCTATTATCCTCTACCTCTCTTTCCATCTAATGGTACTTTAGCATGTTACAAATTATTTTTAAGTTATAGTCAAAACAAACTAAAACCTCTATTCACAGGGATGCAACTTTAATTACTATGTTATCCTATCCGCCATGGTTTGGTAAAACAATCTCTTTCGTATAATCTTATCAATTGAACCAGTGATTCAGGTCAACAGCATCAATGTAACAGTTTTGCTTCCTTCTCTACATGGGCTTGAACCAGGGACCCTCTGCACACATCGACAACAGTCACCCTCGAAGCACCGTTACCCATCGCTCCACAAAAGCCGCGGAACTACTTCAAGGTCGCAGAGCAAGTTACGTCACCAATCTAAACGCTACTAGTTAACACCACTAACTAGCTAGCTATATCCCACTGGTAACACTCACCCCCCTTTGACCTCCTCCTTTTCTGCAGCAACCATTGATCCCAATACACCAAACTTAACCCATATGTGCCTTACAGCCCACTCGAGTTCAGCGAGCCCCAGTCGCTAACACCGCAGACAAAAACATGGAAACTCTTCTATTCTTACTAGTAGACAAAATTAAAACCCATTCTCAAACAGCGTTCTGCGTTTACCTCTATCATTGGTTTAAAACTAACTTGACAACTTTAACAATCGATTGCTGCAGTAGCTTCATGTTTGGTTCAATTAATCTGTTACAATATTGTGTCAGTAATATTTCTGTAGTGACCTCAGCTACAAGTTCCTATATTCCTCATAATGTTATCTTTTATACTCTTCTCCCTTCCAACACTGCTTCATAATCCCTGGTGTTTTGTTAATACTCTTTTTATTCTCTTTGTCCCCTTGCTTCACTTCCCATGAAGATAAGACATTCACTTCTCTGTGCATCGTCCCTATACTATTATTATTCCCTTTATCAACGAAGATAATACCAATCCGCCATTACTAGAAGTCAGCAGATCTGGGTAACTGTCCTTCCCAAGTAGGCAACAAATAACAAACTGAACACTTGCTGTAGTTGACAAGCATATATTGAATTGATATCCATATTATCAATATCCAATTTATTGATAGACATTACGCCACCATTCTCAATCGTTTAATCTAGCACACCATTATGCAACCCCCCAAAAAATGACTACCTCGAAATCGTCTCATATTCCTATTAAATTATGGTCATTCAATTTGAACCAAGCACGCTGATCAATCTTTCATTCTACATCACCAAACCAAATACTTTGTAGTATCTGTCTAAGCAACACATACCAACAGTAGAATTACACTCAGAAACCCAGATTTGTTTACTCTATGCCATTGCCCCAATGCTATTGAAATGATGCAGAAAACCCTAAATTGGCTTTGTACTAGGTTATAAATTACGTCTATAAATTCCAGTCCTTATGGGCAGTTTATTCCTTAAACCTTATCTCTATCACATGATCCATAAACGGCACCAACTCCGAAAACTTGTATTTATCGTTTCCCACCCCTGACGTACGTCTACGTTTTGGGGTTAACATATTGTATACTAATAATCTTCCAATTATTACTTTATCAAATATCGAGTAATCGCTTAAACACATCATTATATTTTCATATATTCACATAATCCACCTAGAACGTTAGAACTCCTAGGTACTCACAACAAACAATCCCTTCGTGTTTTTAACGATTCTCAATCGACACTAATCAACTTCTACAAACATACTCCCAGCGGAACCAAAAAACAGACTGTAGTTTCCAGGACACTGCCCTGCCTGTCATGGGATCCTCCCAGAAAATACAGACTTTTCCGCTACTCTCTAAAACAGCATCACAATCTCCATACCACTCATTAATATTCTATGACCTAATTCTGTTATATATCGAAACTTCTTATCCAAACTTATATCAAATTATCATATCCATTTCTATAACTTATTATGCATCCTTCAGATTCTAATTACTTTCTGCTCTTTGTTCATAAGATAGCCCATGTTGTTCCATTCAATTACTTAACTTCGTTAGCTGACTTTTTCTCCTTATTAATTATATTTCCTTGTCATCGTGCACTCATTAAATCGCATGCTTTATATGCCTCTTTCATGTAATCTAAATCCCATTTTGTGTTGCTTACGACGATATTGTCAGTGATATATTTTCGCACTATCTGTAACTTATCCCTTTTAAAAAACACCTTCTTGAGGATACTCATCATCTGTCCATGCTGATACATCACTGAGAAATTGTTCCCCATAGAAAAATCCTAATTTACTTAACATTCATTCGCGCATTGTCTGATTTTCAATACTTTTAAAAGAGACTTGATTTGTCTGTAATAATTTCGTCATTTCCTTTCTCTCTCCGAGGTAAATGAAGCTCTGATTTACTCTTAATGGTGACTGTTTTTCCAGATACCGGTCTGCTAAGCTGGCCATCCATTACTTCAATTAGTTCATGCAATGTTAGTAAGCACATACTTGAATCAAATCCCCAACTTGATCTTTATTAAAATTTTGTTTGCCTATTTTGTCATTGGTGCCATGATTCAACACGCTCAATTGTATCTGCTCTCATTCTTTACGCAGTATGAGTTATTGTTCTCTCCCTCTTTCCTGACCGTTTTGAGTAACTTCACAAAGGATTAATTTTCTCAGAGGGCTTTTAAAACACGGTTGAGGCCTTGAACCTCTTCACATCTGTCTCTTTATTCTGTTTCCTTGAGGACTTGAACCGATGAACAATGTTTATTATTTCGTCACAGGACTTGAACCTATGAACAATGTTTATTCTTTCATCACAGGACTTGAACCTATGCCCAATCTTGTTCAACCCATTCTCCTTCTCCTCTGTTGTTTTTAGTCATTACTCTGAACAAACCCTTCTTAGAATCAAAGCACCATGTTATTGTCTAATTTGATCATTCTCCTTACATCCCTTCTACACAACTCAACACCACTCATCGTCCCCCTTTAAAAATATTGAATTTTAAACATTCGTTACAGCTCAGCTTTACCACAGATAAGCAGAATTTGACAATAAAAAAATAAATAAAGTCTGCTTACCTGTTAGTTCGGCTGTAAACTGCATCCTGTTCGTTCAGGCGCCAATCTGTTATGATGGGTTTCTGGTATCGAGAAGTTCAGGATGAAAGAATATACTTAAACAATTATATGGAGAGTTGATACAAAGTATTTAATAGACACGGTACCAGGTTTGTTTAACAAACGGCACATGCTTTGCCTCTTGTCATCCGAACTCTGGACAAAGGAAATCTCTGTTTATATACTTCATGTTACACGTTTCTTCAACAACATCAGGTAACCATCAGTGGGCACTCCCCACTCTGATGATACCAGCTTGTACCCAAGTCAGTATATTCTATCTATCAATCATTCTAAGATAAACCCCAGTAAGCTCCCTCGACATACTGGAATCCCTGGCATTCAGACTCTGTGGCACCAAGAGTCACCTATCTAATAGATTTAAGCTTGTTCCCACAACACTATGAAAAGACAACAATAGGCTACCATTACAAAACTCTGATGTTGATATTAAAAGTTTTAGCTATGCGCTATCATCGTACTTACACTTTCTCTTCTCTTTCCCGTCTGCAGAGTTTTTCCGTGAGTTGCTGGACAACGCGGAACACTCGCTCAACGACATGTTCGTGCGCACGTACGGCCTGATGTACGTGCATAATGCCGAGCTATTCAAGCACTTCTTCCAGGAGCTGAAGCGCTACTACATGTCGGGCAGCGGGGCGGTCAACCTGGACTCCATGCTGTCTGATTTCTGGGAAGACCTCCTGGAGAGGATGTTCCAATTGGTCAACGTCCAGTACGAGTTCAGTGACGCCTACATGGAGTGCGTCAGCCGCCACACCGAGCAACTGAAACCGTTTGGTGACGTGCCGCGCAAGCTCCGCCTCCAGCTGACACGGGCCTTTGTTGCGGCACGCACCTTCACCCGCGGACTGGCTCTCATGCCCGAGGTGGTCAACAAAGTCTCCACGGTAAGTGGAAGAGTAGGGTTGCAAAACTACTGGTAATTTACCAAAGATAGAAATGTTTCGTAATTTTGGTAATTAACCGGTAATCTATGGCAATCTATGTAACTCTGGGAATGTATACTTGAATTTTTTTTTTTTTTAAGTATTCATATATAGTATTACTTTTTTATTAATCCACAAGTTTATTGTGGATAGAGCATATGGTTCAAGAAAAAGCCTAATTAAAGAAAAAAGCATCTAATCAACAATGCCATTATTTTCAATTAATCCTGCAACTCTTCCAATGATTGACTTTTTTCACAACTTCCACCGGTTTGGCAACAAAACATTGACAACAAAATATTGACATGGTAATTAAAAAAAAAATATATATATATATATATATAAATTATATTTAATGCTGAAACCCTCATATCATTAATATGATATTCACTAAGTTGACGGGTTATATTTAGGATAATGTTCTACAGTTTTGTCATTCTATTTTGTATTTTAAAACCATCTTTTAAAATATATTTTCCATGTGATAAGGCCACACGGAGGGCGAGAGATAATTAGACTCCTGTGGTAATCTGAAGTACCCATACGGTCACTAGATGTCATGTGATACAATTCCATAACATTCTTGAAAGTTACCAAAATTCTGGTAGTTTACTGGTAAACTTTGAAAGTTACCAGTAATTTACCCTTCCTTTGCAACCCTAAGAAAGAGAGAGATGTTGATGCATAGAATTACATATAGAACATTATATTAGTTGAATTATAGATTTGGTGGCCAATTAACCATTTCTTTGTGGATTTTGATATGTGCTTGGGGTTATTGTCTTGCTGGAAGATCCACTTGCGGCCAAGTTTCAGCCTCCTAGCAGAGGCAACCAAGTTGACCTGAACAAGGGCCCCAGGACCAGTGGAAGCAAAATAGCCCCATAACATCAAAGATCCACCACCATATTTTACAGTAGGTAGGGGGTTCTTTTTTGCTCATGCTTTCTCATTTAGACGCAAAGCCCACCACTGGTGTGCATGGTCAAATAACTATATTTTAATGTGATCCAACCAATGTAAATGCCTGGAGTTTGCTAAATGACATTGGCACTTGGATTTGAACTATTGCTTTGGTCAGATGACATGAAAATAGATCAAAATAGCCCCATAACATCAAAGATGGATTCTTTTCTGCTCATGCATTCTCATTTAGACGCAAAACCCACCACTGGTGTGCGTGGTCAAATAACTCTATTTTCATGTGATCCACCTGGAGTTTGCTAAACGGCATTGGCACTTACATTTTAGTCATTTAGCAGACGCTCTTATCCAGAGCGACTTACAGTTAGTGAATACATATATATATATATATATCTTTTTTTTTTACTGGCCCCCCGTGGGAAACGAACCCACAACCCTGGCGTTGCAAACGCCATGCTCTATCAACTGAGCTACATCCCTGCCGGCCATTACCTCCCCTACCCTGGACGACGCTGGGCCAATTGTGCGCCGCCCATGAGTCTCCCGGTCGCGGCCGGCTGCGACAGAGCCTGGATTCGAACCAGGATCTCTAGTGGCACAGTTAGCACTGCGATGCAGTGCCTTAGACCACTGCGCCACTCAGGAGTACGGAGCACTTGGATTTGAACCGTTGCTTTGGTCAGATGACATGAAAATAGAGCTCTTTGGCCATGGACACAAGTGGTGGGTTTGGCGTTGAAATGAGAATACATAAGCAGAACTGCATACCTACTGTAAAATATGGTTGGTGATCTTTGATGTTATGGGACTATTTTGCTTCCACTGGTCCTGGGGCCCTTGTTAAGGTCAACGTCATCATTAACTTTACCCAGTACCAGGAAATGTTTGCCAAAAATCTGGTTGCCTCTGCCAGGAAACTGAAACTTGTCCGCAAATAGATCTTCCAGCAAGACAATAACCCTAAGCATACATCAAAATCCACAAAGAAATGATTAATTGACCACAAAATCAACATTTTGCAATGGCCATCTCAGTCTCTGGACTTAAAACCCATTGAAAACCTGTGGTTTGAATTGAAGAGGACAGTCCATAAGAGCAGACAAAGGATATCAAGGATCTGGAAAGATTCTGTATGGAGGAATGGTCTAAGATCCCTCCCAATGTGTTCTCCAACTCATAAAACGTTTTAGAAAAAGGCTCAGTGCCGTTATCCTCGCAAGGTGAGGTATTGTAAACAGGGGTGTCAATCATTTTGACCCCTACCCTTTTGAGATTTTTGTTTATTACTTGTTAAACCAAATCTCTTTCTATGAGCAATTGTATTAGTATAAAATAATATAATATAATTCCCCCCAAAATTTGAGCATAGTATTGACATTTATTTTATACAGTCATTTTTGGTTATATTTATCAAAGGTGTCAATCATTTCGGACCGCACTGTATATAGTCTAAGTGTCTGTCTGAAATGCATTTGTATTTGTATTTACTATGGATCCCCATTAGCTACTCTTCCTGGCAGTTATACATTTTAAGGCAGTTATACATTTTAAAAACATTACAATACATTCATAACAGATTTCACAACATTAAGTGTGTGCCCTCAGGCCTCTACTCTACTACCACATATCTATAACACAAAATCCATGTGTACATGTGTATAGTGCGTATGTTATTGTGTGTTTGTATGCATGTGTCTATGTTTGTGTTGCTTCACAGTCCCCGCTGTTCCATAAGGTGTATTTTTATTTGTTTTTTAAATATAATTTTACTGCTGGCGTGAGTTACTTGATGTGGAATAGAGTTCCATGTAGTCATGGCTCTATGTAGTACTATGCGCCTCCCATAGTCTGTTCTGGACTTGGACTGTTATGAGACCTCTGGTGGCATGGCTTGTGGGGTATGCATGGGTGTCCGAGCTGTGCGCCAGTAGTTCAAACAGACAGCTCGGTGCATTCAGCATGTCAATACCTCTCATAAATACAAGTAGTGATGAAGTCAATCTCTCCTCCACTTTGAGCCAGGAGAGATTTACATGCATATCATTAATGTTAGCTCTCTGTGTACATCCATGGGCCAGCCATGTTGCCCTGTTCTGAGCCAATTGCAATTTTCCTAAGTCCCTCTTTGTGGCACCTGACCACATGACTGAACAGTAGTCCAGGTGCGACAAAACTAGGGTATGTAGGACCTGCCTTGTTGATAGTGGTGTTAAGAAGGCAGAGCAGCGCTTTATTATAGACAGTCTTCTCCCCATCCTAGCTACTGTTGTATCAATATGTTTTGAACATGACAGTTTACAATCCAGGGTTACTCCAAGCAGTTTATTCTCCTCAACTTGCTCAATTTCCGCATGATTCATGACAAGATTTAGTTGAGGTTTAGGGTTTAGTGAATGATTTGTCCCAAATACAATGCTTTAATAATAATATGCCATTTAGCAGACGCTTTTATTCAAAGCGACTTACAGTCACGCGTGCATACATTTTTGTGTATGGGTGGTCCCGGGGATCGAACACACTACCTTGGCGTTACAAGCGCCGTGCTCTACCAGCTGAGCTACAGAGGACCACTTTAAGTTTTTTAAATATTTAGGACTAACTTATTCCTTGCCACCCCATTCTGAAACTAACTGCAGCTCTTTGTTTAGTGTTGCTGTCATTTCAGTCGCTGTAGTAGCTGACGTGTATAGTGTTGAGTCATCCGCATACATGAACACATTGGCTTTACTCAAGCCAGTGGCGTGCCGTTAGTAAAGATTCAAAAAAGTAAGGGGCCTAGACTGCTGCCCTGGGGAATTCCTGATTCTACCTGGATTTTGTTCCATTAAAGAACACCTTCTGTGTTCTGTTAGACTGGTAACTCTTTATCCACAATATAGCAGGGTGTGTAAAGCCATAACACACCATATTTTCCAAAAGTTTACTAAGGGTTGGTAACAGGCTGATTGGTCAGCTATTTGAGCCAGTTAAGGGGGCTTTACTATTCTTAGGTAGGGGAATAACTTTTGCTTCCCTCCAGGCCTGAGGGCACACACTTTTTAGTAGGCTTAAATTGAAGATATGGCAAATAGGAGTGGCAATTTCGTCTGCTATTATCCTCAGTAATTTTCCATCCAAGTTGTCAGACCCTGGTGGCTTGTCATTGTTGATAGACAACAATAATTTCTTCACCTCTTCCACACTTGCTTTACGGAATTCAAAATTACAATGCTTGTCTTTTCTACATCTCTTTTGCCTCATCCCTCTCAACCATACAATTTTTCAATTCTTCATCAATCCACAGGGATTTAACCGTTTTTACAGTCATTTTCTTAATGGGTGCATGTTTATTAGTAACTGGGATAAGCAACTTAATAAATGTGTCAAGTGCAGCGTCTGGTTGCTCGTCATTACACACCACGGACCAACAAATATTCTTCACATCAACAACATAGGAATCACTACAAAACGTTTTGCATGACATCTTATACACAGTATTAGGCCCAGCCTTTTGAACTTTGGTTTTCCTAGATATGGCTACTATATTGTGATCACTATGTCCGATGGATTTGGATACTGCTTTCAAACACATTTCTGCAGTATTAGTAAAGATGCGATCAATATATGTTGATGATTTCATTCCTGTACTGTTTGTAACTACCCTGGTAGGTTGATTGATAACCTGAACCAGGTTGCAGGTACAAGTTACAGTTTGAAGCTTTCTCTTGAGTGGGCAGCCTGATGAAAGCCATTCAATATTTAAATCACCCAGAAAGTATACACCTCTATTGATATCACATACATTATCAAGCATTTCACACATGTTATCCAGATACTGACTGTTAGCACTTGGTCTATAGCAGCTTCCCACCCGAATGGGCTTTCGGTGAGGCAGATGAATCCGTAGCCATATTACTTCAACAGTATTTAACATGAGATCCTCTCTAAGCTTTACAGGAACGTGGTTCTGAATATAAACAACCACACCTCCACCTTTTGGCATTTGTCTTTTCTGTGGATCTCATAACCATGTATTGCTACCACTGTATCATCAAAGGTATTATCTAAGTGAGTTTCAGAGATGGTCAGAATATGAATGTCATCTGTTACTAGCAAATTATTGTTTCTTAAGCTATATGTGTTAACGTGGGCTATTTTTAACACTTTTCAGGGATGCTTGATTGTTTTTCTTGCTTTACTGGGAAGCTTAGCAGAGGTAGACATGCACAGGTTATTTTTATTAGTGCAGGGTGAGCGGCACACAGTTGACTTCCTACTAGGGCGCACCACCTCAGTGCTAACAGTATTACTCTGGTTCATAGGCATATGATTACTGCATACAATAGCTGTAGGATCAGCAGAGGCATTGTATCTTCCAATGCCCCTAGGATAATGTACATTTGCTGAAGCATTATGACAACTCAGCGACACAATGGTAGGGATTAAATGAGCTGGACTTGGGTCATTGATAAGTCATTGTCTGAACACAGCCTTATAATGCTGTGAAAGGATCCAGGAACCCAAATGATTTGGGTGGAACCCATCCTCCTTATAATACGAGCTTTGTTTCCAGAAGGTATCAAAATTGTCAATAAATGTTACACCCACAGAGCTGCAATAGTCTCGTAGCCAGTTATGGAGGGCTAAAAGTCTGCTGAACCGTTCAATGCCACGTTTTAGGGAGGGCAGAGGGCCAGATATTATGGGGCATTTGTTGGTATCAAGTAGAGACCCAATCAGTTCTTTAAAATCCATCTTCACTTGTTCTGAGCTGCCCTTCATAATGTCATTTGACCCCACATGAACCATGACAGTATCAGCCCCCGATGACTGACTCAGCCTCGGGAAGCAACCTGGTGATATGCTGAACTTTTCCCCAGGTACAGATATATGCCTCACTATCGACCTCCCTATCACAATCGCCGGAATGATCCGGCCTCTGCCGTGTCTCGAAGCAGATTGCGAGGCCAGAGCCACAGAACTCACCTAAGAAGAGGGCTGCTGAGATGCCGGCTGTGTGCAGGCCACAACAGCCAAGGGGACAGAGCTCTGATCCAGAGAGCACGGCCCAGCAGAGGGGGGCCGCGGTGGTCCAGGCTGTGCCAAGGCAGTTGATTGGTCACTAACTCCCTCTGCCCTCCCCCCTCAGGTCAGTGCATCCCCTAGCTGTGTGCGGGCAGCCATGAAGATGTTGTACTGTCCCTACTGCAAAGGCCAGGTGGCCCTCAAGCCTTGCCAGAACTACTGTCTCAACGTGATGCGTGGCTGTCTGGCCAACCAGGCCGACCTCGACACAGAGTGGAACAACTTCCTGGGTAAGGGCTTTCATATCCAAGGACCAGTTAAACATTCTCGAATGAGTGAGTGAGTGAGTGGGAGAGAGAGAGTGTGTGTGGCTTCTGACACTCTACCCCTTACTGGGGTCTGCTGCCCCCTCCCTGTGTGGCAGCTTTACTGGGTCTTACTTTGGGCGCCTTGTTAAGTCCTCAAACTGTTTAACAACCCCCTGCTCTGAGTGCTCCAAGTAAACTTAGGATCACAACATTCTGACTCTCTGCGATGTGCGTCGCCCTGTTGGTAGAAACAGGCCAAATCACCCCATGGTGAAAATGGCAGACAAAATCTAGGCCAAAATTCACATAATTAGTTTGGTTTTGGGGGTGTTTGTTTGCAGTTATTGCAGGGTTGCAGTTATTGTGTCCATGACTAACTGAGTTGTGTGTTATCAGATGCCATGTTGAGTCTGGCTGAGAGGCTGGAGGGGCCCTTCAATTTTGAGTCTGTGATGGACCCCATTGACGTTAAGATCTCTGAGGCCATCATGAACATGCAGGAGAACAGCATGCAGGTGTCACAGAAGGTCAGTCACTTCCTGTCTGTTTGTCTTTGACTGTGTGTTAGTGTCTGTATTCGCCAACCTGTCTGTCTGTGTGCCTGCCTGGTAGCCTGTGTCTGTCTCTGTATGTCTGTACATGCCACTCACTTGCCTCTCCACTCCTCCAGGTGTTCCAGGGGTGTGGTCAGCCTAAACCAAGTAAAGGTTTCCGGTCGCGTCGCTCAGTCAAGGAGACAGGATTCACTGGTCGCTTTCGTCCCTACAGCCCCGACGCACGGCCCACTACTGCTGCTGGCACCAGCCTGGACAGACTGGTAAGGCATTGTCAGCCATCTGGCCCAACTGTCAGCATACATTCAAGAGTTTTCACGTGAGAATCCAAAGTCTTTCAAATGGACTTGGCATAAATGAATGATCCATCTCTGTTTGCCTGCCTCCCTCCTTCTGCCCAGACGACAGACGTGAAGAAAAGGCTGAAGCATGCTAAGAAGTTCTGGTCCACGCTGCCAGAGACCGTGTGTGCTGGGGAGAGGATTATGTCGAGGGATGACTGTTGGAACGGAACAGCAACGAGCAGGTTAGTTTGGCAGGTTGTTTTCTCAGGTCACTCCCTTGACACAGACACCAACCAACAGTGTCTGCGTCCCAAATGAGACCTTATTCTCAATTTAGTGCACTACTTTTCAAACGTAGTACACTATTTAGGGAATAGGGTACCATTTGGAATAAAGCCAACATTCTGAAGGCATAAAGTAAGGTTGCTGCAGATGGTGAACTAACAGTATGTGCTTGGTAGGATCTCCACATTCATTCTTGACCTTCTGCCATAGGTACGAGTCTGTTGTCATGGGCAACGGATTGGCCAATCAGGTGTCCAACCCGGATGTGGAAGTGGACATTACAAAGCCAGACGTGGTGATTCGCAGTCAGATCGCAGTGTTGAAGGAAATGACCAGCTGGCTGAAGGCTGCCCAAAGCGGCAATGACATCTCCATCAACCAAGGTGAGGATGGTAAGAACTAACAGATTAACTTACTTACTGAGGCCCATTGCCCCATGCAGAGTATCTGGGTTGGACACCTGATTGGCACCCTCTACAGGGAACTAAACCTTTGGCAATCTTCTCCATTTCAATAGACTGGTGTGTTGACAACATCATGACAATGATGTGCGCGTAACTCTGAGGTAAAAGGCTGTGTGTTGTTGTTTTCTGAACAGTCAGATAGCTAGCAACAATGACAAGAAGCTGATGTGTGGTGAATAGTCCCGTGTAGCTCAGTTGGTAGAGCATGGCGCTTGCAACGCCAGTGTTGTGGGTTCGATTCCCACGGGGGGTCAGTATGAAAATGTATGCACTCACTAACTGTAAATTGCTCTGGATAAGAGCGTCTGCTAAATGACGTAAATGTAAATTGTAGATGACAACTATTTGTATCTTGTTTTGACATGTTGACGTGTTTTGACTCATGTCACATCTATGATAATATGGCAAAAATTAGCAAGCTAACTAACCAACAACTGTAACAATGTATTTGAGAGTAAAGTACTTATTGGGCAAATATATTTATGTTTTCAATAAACATTTGCATACGAAATTTCGCTTACAAGTTGTCAATAATCCTTTGATTGTTGGTAAACACCCCACCTGTCTATAGATTAGCTGGTCTAGATATTCTGCTCATGTCTTCTGTTTGACGACCATTGCCTCCCTGTTAGAGAAGGAACCTTATATGCCATTTAGCAGACACTTTTATTCAAAGCGACTTAGTCAAGCGTGCTTACATTTTTTACGTATGGGTGGTCCCGGGAATTGAACCCACTATCCTGCCGATGCAAGCGCCATGCTCTACCAGCTGAGCTAGAGAGGACCACAACCTTTGGTGTTACCATAAAAATGTCACAACAGACTTGAAGAGTTCTATTTTCATCCCCTGAATGCTGTGTCTATTCCTGTGTTCATGGCCTCATCAACCTGCTCCCATTTTTTGCCTCCTGAAATCTTCTCTCTCTCTCTCTCTCTCTCTCTCTCTCGGTCATCGCTCCTCTCTCTCATCGCTCTCTCACTCTCGTCTCTCTCCTCTCTCTCTCGGCTCTCGATCTCTCTCTCTATCTATCGCTCTATATATATATCTCTCGCTTCTCTGCTCTATCTTCTCTCTTCTCAGATGAGGATGTGTTTTAGCGGGGAGAGGAGAGCGGCAGCAGCGGCTGTGACTCTCCGTCCTGTGAGGCGGACCGGGACATCTACTTCTCCACCCCACCCATCCCCATCAACCCCCGCGTGGTCAAGGTGGTGCACCAGGAAACGACTGGTGGAGGCAGTGTGGCACATGGGAGCATGGCACTGGCACTCTGTGTGCTCACCCTGGCCCTGCTCGCCCCCCACTGGAGATAAACGGCCAAGGGAGGGAAAGGGAGAGAGAGTGAGAAAGTAAGACGGAGAGAAGGGGAAAAACTGTCAGAGACTTTTAAAAAGACTGCCTTCAGGACCTCGGTCTGCCCGCCATCATGTGGAAGACTCTTGAGTTATTATATAACTTTTAATTTTTTGTTTGTTTTTATAAAAATGGACAATAGTGTACAGCGATTTTCTTCAAAAATGTTCACCACTTTTTTTTTCTTTTTTTTTCTTGTTGTCCTGATTAACTGATTCACCGCTTGTGGCACCTTTGAGCTAGAATCCCTCCCGCCACATCACCAACAGTGTTTTGAGTTCTTCCATTTTATCCCATTATTCAAATTTTTGTTGTCCATTTATCTGAGAGTTAGTCAAATTCGAAGCAGGATATGGTTTGTGTGTTTCTGTGTTTTGTAGTGTGTTATAAAAATTAAGCCCTCTATTCACCAATGCATTCCCCTTACCAAGAAAACAACTAAGGATCAATGTAGCAAGTATTCCTGGTTTGTCAGTGTATGTGTGTCCATATTGGTTTTTCTGTTTGTGTGCTTGTTTGTGTGTATGAGTGAGAGTGCTTCCTTTTTAGATATATTGGCAGTATCTTCGGGCTGGCCAGGGATGAATGTGGCTATGCCAGAAAAGAGAACATCTTGGTTACATGTTGAAGCTCTAGACTGGCTCTGAGCTAAGAGTACAGTAGTTCTGTGGGAAAATACTAAGAAGTTACAGGGCTGATGTTTAGATGGTTCGATAGGAGATTGAACTAGCTGGCGAGGGGTTCTGGGGGATTCTGTGTGCCCAGGTGTGCATCCATAATGTGGAAGGAGTACCACATCCCAAACGACACTCTCAAATACAAAACCAGTCCACTGAGATCATACCTCGTGTGTTCTCTGAATCATCATTATACACAAGCAGTGTTGAAATTGAAAGTGTCTGATGGAGGGGGGAGGTCCTGATGTAGGCTAGAAGAGAAAGCTGGTGACTTGAGAGGAGGGACCCCCCTCCCTGTCATTCCCCTATAGAAGGCAGAGCTGACAAAGAGCAGTCCTCAGTGTCCTGGGGCAGAGAGTCTATTCAGTTCAGAGCAGACTCAGACTCTGCACAGTCTGTCTTACATATGATAAAATGACATGATCTTGACAGGGAGTAGCTTGTATGTCCAAATGTTTGAGATGTAGCAGAAAAGAGAAACCAAGAAACAGTTGAGTGACTTTGCGAATTGAATCGGAGATGAGAGAAACGTGGAGAATGAGTATGATGAAATTGTAACACAGGGTTTTATATTGAGGAAGTGTTCTAATTGTTTGTCATTTTTTGGTGTGTGTGTGTGTATATATATATATATATACACATACACATACACACACACACACACACACACACACACAGTACCAGTCAAAAGTTTGGACACACCTACTCATTTAAGGATTTTTCTTTATTTTTTACTATTTTCTACATTGTAGAATAATAGTGAAGATTTCAAAACTATGAAATAACACCTATGGAATCATGTAGTAACCAAAAAAGTGTTAAGAAAATCAAAATATATTTTATATTTGAGATTCTTCAAATAGCCACTCTTTGCCTTGATGACAGCTTTGCACACTCTTGGCATTCTCTCAACCAGCTTCACCTGGAATGCTTTTCCAACAGTCTTGAAGGAGTTCCCACATATGCTTAGCACTTGTTGGCTGCTTTTCCTTCACTCTGCCGTCCGTCTCATCCCAAACCATCTCAAATGGGTTGAGGTCGGGGGGTTGTGGAGGCCAGGTCATCTGATGCAGCACTCCATCACTCTCCTTCTTGGTAAAATAGCCCTTACATAGCCTGGAGGTGTGTTGGGTCATTGTCCTGTAGAAAAACCAAATGATAGTCCCACTAAGCCCAAACCAGATGGGATGGTGTATCGCTGCAGAATGCTGTGGTAGCCATGCTGGTTAAGTGTGCCTTGAATTCTAAATAAATCACAGACAGTGTCACCAGCAAAGCACCCCCACACCATAACACCTCCTCCTCCATGCTTTATGGTGGGAACTACACAGGCGGAGATCATCCATTCACCCACACCGCGTCTCACAAAGACAAAGGGTGGCTATTTGAAGAATCTCAAATATAAAATATATTTTGATTTGTTTAACACTTTTCTGGTTACTACATGATTCCATATGTGTTATTTCATAGTTTTGATGTCTTCACTATTATTCTGCAATGTAAAAAAATTTAAAAATAAAGAAAAACCTCTGAACTTTTGACTGGTAGTGTGTGTATATATATATATATATATATATATATATATATATATATATATATATATATATATATATATATATATATATATATATATATATATATATTAGGTACAACAGTGAATTTTACTGCTAGTTGTAGGAGCTGGTGGGAGTGGCTGTGTGCACAGATTATGTTTTTGGGCGCTTGTTTGCACCCCATACAGACATTTACTTCTGCTTTCATTATAGTCTTCATCTGTATGAGTTGAGGCATCTCTGTCTGACCTACATGTATCCCCTCACCATCCAAGTTCAACTGTTTCCTCGAGTGCAACTACATTTTATATATTCTGTCTTGCATGGAAAATGAAACCTCGGTACGTTAGTAACTACTTCTCGAAACAGTAAATTGTATCTGTTGTACTTTACTGTATGTCTCAAGACAGAACAATGTCCCTGAATTTGTTGAATTGGATGACTGACAAGCACAATATTAGTTATTGTTTGAATTTGAAGTCCTGGTCAACTCCAAGTCACGTCACCTGATAGTTTCACCTCTCACATTATCCACTGGTTGCTCTTGTACAGTAAATTATTTAATTGCATGTTTCTTTTAAAGCATTTACAAACATGCTTTCAAAAAATACAGTATACAGAATGTATTGATATATTTTGTAGATGAAAATATATTAATTTAGCAAATTAACTGAAGGTGTTTGTATTGGTTTCAGATGTCCTATTTTACATTCTGTATAGAAAAAAACTGATTTGCATGTTGCAGTTGTCTGTCAAGTCTTCTAATGTGATTGGCTGATGTATGATGAATGGTGATGATGCCTGGACAGGGCTGTTTGCTCAAGGCATTTTGTGCCTCTTGCGTCCCCCCTGGTGCTGGAAGCTCCATTTAATTTATCAAGTTGATTGTACATTGAAACCACATGAGATATTTGTTCCCTAAAACCTTAATGTCCCCAAGGATTATGCTTGGATGGCCGACAGGACATTGTCATGCAGCGAAAACATCTATGTAGCCCTTGAAGAGGAAATATCTATGCTGCCCTTCCACACTCAACTATCATTGCCTTTTAATAGTGCAGTCCCTATGTTGTGAATTGTAGGTTACCACCATCTACAGTACCAGTCAAAGGTTTGAACACACCTACTCATTCCATGTTTTTTCTTTATTTTCACTATTTTCTACATTGTAGAATAATAGTGAAGACATCAAAACTATGAAAGAACACATGGAATCATGTAGTAACCAAAAAAGTTAAACAAATCAAAATATATTTTATATTATTGATTCTTCAAAGTAGCCACCCTTTGCCTTGGTGACAGCTTTGCACACTCTTGGCATTCTCTCAACCAGCTTCATGAGATAGTCACCTGGAATGCATTTCAATTAACAGGTGTGCCTTAAGAGTTCATTTGTGGAATTTCTTTCCTTAATGAATTTGAGCCAATCAGTTGTGTTGTGACCAGGTAGGGGGTATACAGAAGATAGCCCTATTTGGTAAAAGACCAAGTCCATGTTATGCCAAGAACAGCTCAAATAAGCAAAGAGAAACAACAGTCCATCATTACTTTAAGACATGAAGGTCAGTTAATACGTAAAATGTCAAGAACTTTGAAAGTTTCTTCAAGTGCAGTCGCAAACACCATCAAGCGCTATTATGAAACTGGCTCTTATGAGGACCACCACAGGAATGGAAGACCCAGAGTTACCTCTGCTGCAGAGGATAAATTAATTAGAGTTACCAACCTCAGAAATTGCAGCCCAAATAAATTCTTCACAGAGTTCAAGTAACAGACACATCTCAACATCAACTGTTCAGAGGAGACTGTGTGAATCAGGCCTCCATGGTCGAATTGCTGCAAAGAAACCACTACTAAAGGACACCAATAAGAAGAAGAGACTTGCTTGTGCCAAGAAACACGAGCAATGGACATTAGACCGGTGGAAATGTGTCCTTTGGTCTGGAGTCCAAATTGGAGATTTATGGTTCCAAGCGCCGTGGCTTTGTGAGACGCGGTGTGGGTGAACGGATGATCTCCGCATGTGTATTTCCCACCATAAATCATGGAGGAGGAGGTGTTATGGTTCGGGGGTGCTTTGCTGGTGACACTATCTGTGATTTATTTAGAATTTAATGCACACTTAACCAGCATGGCTACCACAGCATTCTGCAGTGATACGTCATCCCAGCTGGTTTGGGCTTAGTGGGACTATCATTTGTTTTTCAACAGGACAATGACCCAACACACCTCCAGGCTGTGTAAGGGCTATTTTACCAAGAAGGAGACCGATGGAGTGATGCATCAGATGACCTGGCCTCCACAATCCCCCAACCTCAACCCAGTTGAGATGGTTTGGGATTAGTCGGACAGCAGAGTGAAGGAAAAGCAGCCAACAAGTGCTAAGCATATGTGGGAACTCCTTCAAGACTGTTGGGAAAGCATTCCAGGTGAAGCTGGTTGAGAGAATGCCAAGTGTGAGCAAAGCTGTCATCAAGGCAAAGGGTGGCTATTTGAATAATCTCAAATATAACATTTATTTTGATTTGTTTAACACTTTTTTGGTTACTACATGATTCCATGTGTGTTATTTCATAGTTTTGAAGTCTTCACTATTATTCTACAATGTAGAAAATAGTAAACATATAGAAAAACCCTGGAATGAGTAGGTATGTCCAAACTTTTGACTGGTACTGTATGTATTTGCAAAGGGTTGTGCTGCTTGTTTTTGTGTCATGTGGGGAAAGTAATCATCAAACACTATTTTCCATCTCAATCGCAAATGGTAAATCAATGTTGTGGGGCAGTTATCGCAAATGGTAAATCAATGTTGTGGGGCAGTTATCGCATATGGTAAATCAATGTTGTGGGCCAGTTATCGCAAATGTCTTTGCTTGAGGGCCATGGCAGCAGCTATTCTAGTAGGCACGGCAGTGGTGTGTTAGTCTACCTTACAGTGATATGGGGTAGGGTTCTCCTTTTATCTGATCCATGGAACAACCTCGGTGATGTGCGTCTGGAATTGCCCCCTTTTCCCACCATAGTGCACAAATTTTGACCAGAGTCCTATGGGCCCTGATCAAAAGAAGTGCACTATATAGGGAATATGGTTCCATTTCAGACACAGCCTGATAGTTGAGGAGATGGATATATGACGACACACCCCCATCTGTCTTTGGCCCACAAAAACAGCATGAAGTCATCTTTATGACGCCTGAGGAGAGTATGACTACGTCCCAAATGATACCCTATTCCCTTTATAGCCCTGGTCAAAAGTAGTGCACTACATAGGGAATACTAGAATGCCATTTGGGACGCAGAAGTGAGGGACTGACAAGAGTCAAGTTAAAACTGTGTTAATAACGAGCAGTCGTTTTAGATGTCTTTGCAAAGAGGCCGTAACAATCCATCAGATTTTTACTCAAGAGTATCTCCTAAATGTTATGAGAAAAACAAGATGAGATAGATGCTACATTGTAAAAGGTATATTAAACAACATTTCCTGGTCTTGATTAAATAAAGACAGATATTTACATGGTCTTGAATGTTTTCTTTTCTGATTTACTGACATGATGGTCCTCTAAATACTGGCTAGTTTACCCAAACAATTAAACCTCTTCCTATTTAAAAATATGCACTTTGACAAATTAAACCCATAATACTTATGAATATTCAATCATACACATGCCTTTGTGTGTAGAGACTACAGGTCTTGTCTACTCTCCTTCACAATTATTGTTGTCTATCAACAATGACAAGCCACCGGGGTCTGACAACTTGGATGGAAAATTACTGAGGATAATAGCGGACGATATTGCCACTCCTATTTGCCATGTCTTCAATTTAAGTCTACTAGAAAGTGTGTGCCTTCAGGCCAGGAGGGAAG